CATCTCTACCCATCCATCGTCACTATGAGGCAAGCAGAGCGGTAAAAATCTCTTCCAAACTAGTTCAATGTCCTGAAGGGACGACTCAATAACCTTTTGGAAGGTGCGAAGGAAGTGGTCTACTGAGTGAAAGACCTCTTCATTCGGGAAGGATCTAATCACATCGTCTGCCAACTGGAACTTAGGAAGATCTCTTCTATTAAGAGTCAACCCTCCAGTGCGACTGCTCTTCTCTACAACTTTCACAGAAGGCGAAAGGTACTGACTGCATGCTATTTCTATATCTATCATTTCTTTGACGCGTCTGACCTTATTAAGGGCTAATTCAGCTGCTTGCTCATCGTTCATAGCGTGAGCAGCGCTGACAGCCTCCACATGCTGTTGAAGTTCTAGTCTAAGTTTCTCTGACAAAGACAAGACTGTTGTAGCAGCATTCGCTACCAAGGGACGAAGGGGAGAGGGAGCAACAAATTGTCCAGGGGTGGAGCTGGCAAAGGAGATGTTGTCACTCAGACTGGCGATGAGGTCCTCCTCAGTCATGACGGACATGGCATCCTCATCATGAGCAGGGATGATGGCGGCGGGATAGTTCTCAGCAGAGGGGTTCATGGTAGTTCACGAAAAAAAATGTTGTGGTGGTTGAAGTTGAAGAAGTTTTTAAGAGGAAGAATTCAAGATTTGAAATTAGGAACGAAGATTCGTGAGAACTTGTGTAGGTTTTGTTTATTGAGAAAGATTTTGTATCAAAGTTTGACCAGGTTCCTACACTGAACTACTACTGCTATTTATATTGTTTTGGATTGGGAAAATTATATGACTGGGGTCAGGTAATCGATCCTATCTGAGCCTTAATCAGAGCAACGTGATCTTGGGATAATTAATGTATGATTAATTATATAAATGTGTGTAGTCCCAATGAAGTATTAACATCAAAAGTAAATGTGTTTATGAGTTATAATTATGCTTATAATAATCCACTGATGTATCCCATATTATGGTGATATCATCATATGAAATATAATCACTATCACGCATGCTAAACCTGTGTGTTAAATAATAAAGTAATCGGTAGACACCTTTGACTGGAATAGCTGAGGCCTTATATTATTTCCTTCAGACTTATTCTCAATTACAGCAGTAGTCAATACTCATTTACAACAACTTTACTTCTATTCTACCTCACTATATTTTTACTTTATCTTTATTCAATTATTATATTTTTACTATACTTTTATTTTACTCTCTCTATAATTTTCTATTCTACTTCTACTATCAACACCAGTTACATGTAGTAAAAATTTTCACTTGACTTTCTTTTCTTTTCCTCAAAAAATTATTTTAACCAAACATTTTTGTTTATAAAAGGAACAACCTTTTCAATCAATAAAATCATCATTCTATCCTTGATCTTATTTATTTTTGCTCGTTATTATCATTATTCTTCATTCATACATAGTGTCCTTGTTCTTTGGAGTGTTGTCTGTCAATTTTGATATATTTTGTTTCTCTGTTTTCTCTTTTCTGTTTTTCTCAGACTTTGTTGTTGTCACAATTTCCATTTTAATCTTCTCCCTATTTTTCTACCTGTCTGTCACCAATTCTTACCTGTCAAATTACCCATTCTTTTCCATTCTTATTGTATTCTTCTTCTTGTATTTTGTAATTCACATTACATTTATTTGCCAAGTGATACTGTTACAATCCACAACAAACAAACACATCACGTGTCAGTCGTCACATGTATTGTGGACAATCTCAGCTTTTGGCCATGTCATGGTGTCCAGTACCAGAAGATCAGTCTGCTCAGTGGGTCTGTCCGGCGGTTTGTCATGACGTGTCATCCTGGTTATGAGAGGCTGACATCAACAGTTTGTTGATGTGGTGCTGTGCCCTCAGTGGTAAGAGGAGAATTTTTCTGTGTACAGAAAAAATCTCGTTTCTGTTCCCTGCTCCTTCTACATATAATACTTTTTCCTTTTCCCTTGTTAACATATTTGTCTACATTGTACTCATTCGAAACCATTGTTCCCCATGCTAGTAACATTCCTCTTCTATAATGCACATAATTCATCTTGCCAACATCTCCGCACAACATCAGTACCTTTATTATTATATTTTTACCAAATTTTATTCATATATTTTATCCTTGCCATATCGATTATTCATAATCTATTTTTACTATCTTTATTTTTCCGAACTTCTATTATCAGCTTAAAATCTTGTCAACTATAAAAAGAGAAGCAAACTCAACTCAATAAATGATTGAATTTAGTTTCAGTATCTTTTTCTTGTTCTCTTCTCTTTGTAGTCTATACCATCTTGTGACATAATATATCAGTCCCTTAGTTTTAGGAAGGTTGTTTGTTGGTTTTAGTCTCCTCGTCGGTTATTACTTTTCTGTTTCATCATTCTCTTTTCATATACCTTTCTCTCTCTCTCGATTTTAACAACAATTCTATTGGTTGTTCTCTCTTTTCTTATCTGTCAACTATTGCTGTTTGCCACCTTTTGCTGTATCAATCTTCTGTTTTATTCTATTATCATTGTATTTTATTTGCCAAGTGATCCATTACAATCTACAACAAACCTAACACATCACACGTCATTGTTTTGTAGCAGAGCAACATGGTTTTGATTAACCGCACTCACTATGAACGAAATTGGTGTGACAGTCCTACTAATTTTTTAGTGATTTGGTGGCCAGCCACACTATGCTTAAGCAGGGTAAATTAGTGGTAAATGAGCTATGTTAGTTACCAATCAATGTAGTTTTGCCACACCAAATTTGGTTAGTGGTTTTGCAACAGATCTTAGTGGCTTTCCTACCATAAAACTTAGTGGAAACGTAACAAATTAATGTGGTTTTGTGCTAAAAAACAGCATAGCATTTGCCAGTTTAATGTTGATATCCACCATACCGTGGTGTAGTTTTTTTACAAAAAAGGAAATTATGGTGTGGTTTTTTTATGAAAAAAGAAACAGTAATGTAGTTTTTTTTATTAAAAAAATAATTTTAGACAGTAGATTTTTTTTATTTAAAATAGCAACATTGGTGACATTGCTTATTTTTACTTTTTGTAAGAAACTATTGGTAGACTTATACAGTGTTTTTTTTTGGTTTTTCTATTTTGTTTTGCGTCCAGCAAACAGGTTGCTAGAATATATGCAATATCCTTGACAATGAGGTGAGACGAGATAGCATTCAGAACAATTTTTCTACAGAATAGGATGGAGCAATATTGCCGGGTTAAACTATGCAATAACATTGTTTAATACTCAATACCACGAAATAATAGAAAAAATAAAGAAATATAATAGCACTAATAACTTACATAACTTCAACAAACATAATATAAACGCATGCTTCTTATAAATCAGTGTTTTTTCTATCGAGTAATAATAACAATAGTTAACATATGTAGCTTTAAAAAGAAACTCTTTTCAATATATTTACCTTCAGTCAATCAAAAACAGTAAACCACCCCAAAAAGTCAATAGTTCACAGGAAAGCAACTTGAGGATTCTCAAAACTAAACGAAATAATAATAATATTAGCATACATATAATGTAAAAAAGTTCAATTCTGTTAATTACCTTTCGATTGATATTGTAAATAAAGTACATAAAATTCAAAAAAATACTATTGAAAAGCTATATAATTATTAGTACATTTAAAACAGCTCTTTTCCTTTGTACAAGAATATTTACCTGGGTTTACATATCAGATTAAAGGCTGGTTATTGCTGTATCAGAATAGAGATTGCTCATAACTATTTTTAATTATTCAAAAAAAAAGATAAATGACCAAGTCCTATTCATATGTATATTTAGAATACCTTTTTCAGTTATGATGCATCTTGAACTCTTTCTTTCTTATTGTTAATTGCAAAGTTGTATCTAGAGTCTGCTTCCATTAGTTTAAATTTATTTCTGTTTTTTTTTTAGATTCAGATTGAATGAGTTATTACAAAAGTGAACAATTCAAAATATTTCTACAAGATTTCAACTTTTATTGGTGTGCTTTTGCTTGGCTGAAATGTGGGTGATGGAAAACATAAGAAAAATAAATACAGTGTTTAGAACTAACTAATGCTACTGATGATGGGGACCAAAAAAAAAGAAGAAATAGAGTGAAATTTTTTATTGCTGTACACAAATATGATCATGTGACTTGTGGCCTGTGCTTTTTTTTACTTTTCTAAGTATATCTGCTGCGTGTTGGTCTCCTTGGTGGTGTCATGACTACAATTGACTCCTCTTCAGAGATACTGTTGTTGGCACTATTTGAAGCAGAGAAATTAGCAATTTCATTACATTATATATTGAAATGAGTCTGTTTGTACATATTGTCCTGAACTGGCCCAGCTGCTCTCTCCTATGATATTTAAAATCAAATTAATAAAGATACTTGACCTTTGCAAATTATATACAAACCTTTCTTCTTTTTTCTGTCTGACGTTCAGCCTTCATTACTTTCTGTAAAAGAAGAGAAGCAGCCCATTGATCTCAACATTCGTAAAGTGGGAAGTTGTAGTTATTGAAAATTAACTCCTCAAGTCGCAAAGAGTAGTACAACTTTTTCTGAGAATTCAACTTTCCCCAGTTTACTTTCACAACACCATCATCTTTCATTATACACCAACATTGCCTGGTATACATATGAAACTGCAAGCGAATAAGCTTTTGCTCTAGTGCTGATATATTTACATCTGTCCCTTTTTGTTTTTTCCAGAGGTAGTTAATTAATGCATTGATTCTTGCAGTGGCACTTGGGGTCTTGTTTGTTCCTTGAGGTATGAACCCCATACGTGCCTCATTCATTGTTGCAGGTATATGTCTTACGTCCCTGTCATCAGGATGGCTTACTAGGTATGCCATTCGTCTTTCGATTTCAGATTGTTCGACGACATCTTTGAATAAAATTTATGAATATTCAAAACAGTTGCTAAACCCATTATTCTTATCTCTATAGACGTTACTAGTTCCATCTGCATTAAAAGTCTGTCTTATTTACTGTTGTTGATTAGCAACGTTTTCATCAATTCTAGCAACTGAAATGCGGATATCAGCCAATTCCTCACAAATAACAATTCTAATTGTGTTTAACATATTAATGTCCAATTGGCTATTCATATTAAGTAGATGGTTTAAAGATTATAAAAGAGAAAGGAAGAAATAAAAAATAATGAAAACAAAGACAGCTAATATATGTTGGGATGGATAATGTTGTGAATGAGTATTGATTACTGCTGAATCTGAGAGTAAGACTGAAGGATAAAATAATATCCTCAGCTATTCCAGTCAAACAGATCTCCCTTTATGATATTATCTAATACACAGATCATCATACACATAATTGATTATTTATTATTATCACCATGACATGGGATATACAAATACATATACATTATATATATGACATCATTATATTTCATCTACATATTTCTTTTATTATACAAATACTTCATTGAGAGACTACAACTACAACTATTTAATATTATGAAACATTACCCGAGTATCTGAGTCAGAATACTAAAATATTACTAATAGCATAAATGCTCTTCTTTACCAAAACTCTTGGACTGATCTGACTGGAGAAGTATCATATCAATTGGTCTTTCCGGATCTTTCCAGAAGAACAATACTCCTGGAAGATGACTCATCGTGATAAAGATTACTTAAGCACACACTGAATTACAAATTAGAAAAACATATAAATATCAGTAGATAGTTCCGTGTAGAAAAACAATGGAATTTTTATCATTCTTTACTTTTCTTTTGAAATAAACAACCTACACAAGTTCTCACAAATTCCTTTGTCTATATTATATTTTGCGTTATTTTCTCTCCACAACAGATAAACATATAAAATACGTTAAACCTCAACATCTAATTTATACAGACTTTATGATTAAAGCTATAAGATTGGTTTCTTTTTGCTTTCTATAGAAAATCGAATATTCCTTTCAAAACAAGAAGCAAAAACAAGAATTTAACAAATAAAATATAGACAAAATAATCAATAAGAACTTATATAGATTGCTTATTTCAAAATAAAAGTAGAGCATAACAGAGTTTATATGTTTTCTGATTTATGTTTTAGGACGTATCTAAATAAACTTTATTACAATGAGTCATCTTGCAGAAGTATTACTCTTCCGGGAAAATCTAGAGAGACCAATTGTTCTGATACTTCTCAAGTCATATCAATCCAAAAATTCTGGTAAAGAAGACCATTTATGCTATTGATAATATTTTAGTATCCTGGCCAGATACTCGGGTGATGTTTCATAATGTTTATCAGTTGTAGCTGTAGTCTCTGAATTAAGTATTCATATAATAAATGAGATATGTAAATGAAATATAATTATACCATAGATATAATATATGTGTACTTATATATTCTATGTTATTGTGATAATAATAATTAATACATGATAACTAATAATCAATTATGGATATGATGATCTACATATATAATAATATCTTAAAGACATATCCAGCAAAGTGAAATATCTGAGGCTATTATATTATCCTTCAGTCTTACTTTCAAAGTAAGCAGTAATCGATACTCATTTACAACATCAATAAACCGCGCTTATGAACTCAAAAAATATAAAAAAGGGAGCTCACGATCTCATTCAAGATTAAAATACCTCTTTTTTTATTTTAACTTTCATATACTACTCTTTTTTCAATCTTACCAATGTCTTATTTAAACAAAAGAATTAGAAGTTCTACTGACTTACCCTACTAGCAAGCAACTTTGCAATCACAAACGTATTCACAAACAAGTCAATGCTCCTGTTGCTAAAGAAAACTTACAGGAACCAATTATGCAATCTGCTTCAGCACAAACAAATCTAGAGGATGGTATGTATTTGAAATAATTTAGTACACACTCTCCAAACATAAATATTTATAGCCCTAATTGCCTGTTACAGTTCCATTTGATCCTTTCCAGTCAAGAACCTTTAAAGCGTCTTGCAACTTTGAAGCTGGTGACTAAGAACATGTCTACAACGATAACATCTTTACCAACAATATCTTCACAACATCCGAGCTATTCAGCATTTGCTTGAACGATTTTGTAATCGATTTTGAGGTTTCTACAGATCTGCATAGTCTACTTGTAGATCTTATGAACATGGTCATTCGTGATAATGACAAGCTCAAAGAAGATATGTTCAATTCGAATTGTCTTTAGATATTCTAGAAAGTTAACTAAAATGTTCAAACATTAGAATACAACCCAAAAAATCTTGCATGCCGGGCCTGTCAACACACTCATCAAAAGCAAGACTGACTTGAAGTCTTATGAGTATGACATTTGTGAGAATGTTTGCTCGCTTTTTGATATCACCAAGAATGAAGAAGAATGCTCCATTTGCAAGGCTCACAGATACAAGGAGATCGATGGTGATTCTTCTTTGGTACCAGTAAATACCATGAAAATGATGTCACTTGGTGACCAACTTGCGAGACTTCTTGGTAACAACAAGACAAGATTAAAGTTGCAATACAGGGCCAACAGACAATCCATTTCAAATGATATGTCTGATTACTTTGATAGTGAAGAGTACAAGACTCTAAAAGAGCAGCAGCTCTTTGATTCCCCTGATGACATAGCAATTGCTCTGTTTCTTGATGGTTTTGTAAACCAAAAAAATCGAAACGGCAATTGACTATTGTGCATGTAATGATGTTAAACTATAACCCTAAAATTAGGTAATAATTAATGCAAAACATAAAAAGATTTTTTATACATGGGTTGATCATCAAAAAGTTCAATGGCAAGCAGATTAAAGCCAAAGTTCACATGGTTATGACCTCTGGTGACATTCCTCAAGTGAGTTAAAGAAAAACTAAGGAGAAAAGCAACTCACCATTTTGAGCAAAAATAGGTTACCCAATTTTGTCACCACACAGGTCACATGTCCAACAAAGGTTGCTGGATATGTGAGGTAGAAGGTGTCAGCCCTCCCCACAGTAAAGAGAAATACTACCAGAACCATTGTGCCACTTTGAGAACAAAGAACGACTTTGTTAAAGGTAAAAAAGTAAGTATACTATAACAAAAAAAAATTATATATTAATATAAATTTTATAGGCTACTGGTATTAAAGAGGCAAACATTTTTGCCCGATTGCCCACCTTTAGTGGATCTTACTTCTATAGACTTGATGAGATGCATTTAATTGGCCATGGAATAGGCAAACTTATTTACAAACTAGTTGTACTTTCCAACACTGAGTCATTGAAAGCTTACTGGCCAAAGAGTGAAGACGAAAGTCATTTCCTGAAAGAGAGATATACCTTCTCTCTGAAGGAAAGTGATGTTAAGCTGGCAGGTAGACAAATCCAGTATTCTAGATCCAACATATCTGTATCCTTCCAAGGCAGTTGAGATAATATTATTGACAAGAGGGAAGGCATAAGGGCAATCAATTACATTGATTTCCTTTTGTATGTTGTCCCCACTCTGCTGGTTCCTCTTTTTACAAGACAAACAACTCGAAAGGCACTCCTGGCTCTGGTAAAAGATTGCTCTATATGCTTGCAGTGGAATTTAAATGAGAATATGATAGTGGAAATGGAAAAGTAAGTTGAAATGAGCTTTGAAACTTTATTATTTGAAAATAATGCTTACTTTCTTTTTTAATAGCAATCTTAATATTTGGCATCAGTTTTTGGATTCTGAGATTACAAAAAAAAATCTATCAGTCAGAGTCTTCTCTCCCGTAAACCATTATATTACTCATATTAGTCTTATTACAAAAAAGATGGGTAATTTAAGGGTATACAGTACCAGATCCATGGAACAAACAATTGGCAGATATTCTAAGTTAATCAAAAGTAAGGTTTTCAGTGAAAAAATGTGGGCAACTTGGTGGAGCGACTAGCAATCCATGGCTATCTGAACTGCTCGGTAGATTTCGATGAATTAGTGAATCTAGTTATATCCACAAGGACATCTCTGGACAACTTCCTGGAACTTTCATCTCTCTCTCCCTACAATTATGATCATCAACTCTGGAGTCTGTTCGAAACTATACCCTATATACAAGAATTTACCAACATACCCACATTTACCAAGGAATTACAAACCTTTTATACCCAATCTAATTCACAGCAAACCGATCCACAATATACCATGAACACAATCCAGATAGCAGCGCGCGCCTTAATTGGTAGCCATGTATATAGTTCAGAAATGTACAGAAGAAAGAGATCAGAATTCCGTCAAGGCAATCATTATATAAAATTTCATGCCATATACCAAAAGTAAGTTTTTCATAAAGAAATATCCTATAGAATGAAGTTTCTAATTACTCTATTTAAATCTTAGCAAAACTCACTGGTTTATTGGGTCTGTTGTTTTTTATTTCTCACATAACATCTCACCTCATGATGAAAACTGCAGGCAGTTTCTCATGTTGCTAAGTGTTATGAATGATCACTCAGCCACCGACTATGACAATTCCATTCCAGTTGTAACTCTAGATGCAACTTCAATATACCAAAGATTAGTAGTAATTAGTCTAAATGATATCCAAAATCAAGTCGGCTTAGTCCAAACCGCTATGGACTCAAACAAATATAAAGTAGTTGCTTCATATTATATATTTAATGAATATATAAAAAGTACTGCTGGAAAATTAAGCCATATCAAACTGTAAATACCCCATTATACCCATTTTTTATCTCTTCTTTCTTTAATATACCCATAAACAATAAAAAAAATCTTTGTTTCTATTTCAATAGTTCAAATATATTTTTATTTTAACAAGTTAAATTAAAGAAAAATTAAAAGAAAATAAGTCATGCAAAGTAGATGTATAAAGTAGCTATAGAGATTCACCTTCTTCATCTTAAAATTATTTTTTAAGATGATGTCCATTTGCAATGAAAAGAAAAAAAAATGCGAAGTAAAAATTAAAACAAAATAAAAGATAAAAAAATCAATTTAAATCTCACACTTTTGGTAAATTAGTGGGAAAGTTAGTTGGTCTGCCACATTGATTAGTGGTATTGGCAAAATACAACAATCTTGACAATGAGACAAAAAAAAAGTTTTAGAATTTCAAATAAAAAATAAATAAATCAAGGTATTATACTCTCTATATGATATATATATAAAAAAAAAGACGTTTCTATTATGTTTTTTTTGCTCTTAAATACAACTTTATCTTTTTCACTTTTTTTTAATATTTTTACCAAAATCTAGAGTTAATTTGATTGGTTAATTAAAACAAATTAGTGGCATATCCACTACTATTAGTAGCGGCCGCACCAATTTCATTCATAGTGACTATCAGTCCCTTTTTCAATCGATTTCAACCTTTTTAATCAGTCACAAAGTCTCAAACCCCCAATTATAATTTTATTTTTTAATTTTAATTTTAATTTTAATTTTATTTATATTATTTTTATTTCTTATTCTAAAAATTTGACTTCTCATTATTTTTATTTTTATTCTTCTCCCAATTTTCTGAAAACAAATTTCCCTTCCCTTTCTTCTTTCCCAAAATTAGTTTCCCACTCTTTTATTTTTCTTACTTTTCTTATGCACTAAATATGACGTTTTCCTCTCAATAATACTTTACTAAAATTGTTAACTATAATTTTTCTATTTCTTTATAACATACTTCTTCCTGATGTTTTCCATTCTTTATAGTTATATATTATAACTTCATTTGTTTTTCTTTCATGACGAATCTTGATTACAATTATTTTATCTATATTTCTTTTATCACAATTATCTCCTAGATATCAGTGCAACCTATTTTCGCCATAAATGTTATCCAAGAAGTAGTATAAATAACCATTCAAAAATCAATCAATACACAATTGGTGAATTTTTCTGATACAAAAGTTTTCTCTAAAGACGCTGTCTACTTTCCCTAATTTCTCTTATAAATTTTTCTTCCATTTACTGTTTTTCTTTGTCAAGTCTTTGTGGAAAATTGACTATTTTCTATTTTTTTTCTATTATTTTTCTTTCCCTCAAATTTAACGATTTTCGTTTTTGCTAAGTTTTCCCTTTATTTTTTATTCTAAAATTATCTTAGAAATTTTCTTAGTTAATTTTTAATCTTTTATTCTCTGAATACTTCCCTTAACTTAGTTTATTTTACATTAGCATTATTCATTTTCTTTTGCTAGTTCTAGATATTCTTTCCCTTCTGAAATTCCTTCTATTTTTCCCTTCTAGAAGTAGTTTCTCTTATTTATTTTATATTTTATTAAAATTGTTTCCCAATTCAAATAATTCTATCTCATTACGGAATTCAATTCTTATTATTACCCATATCTTGCTTTACTTGTATATATCATATACATAACAAAGTACCACATGCGTCAGTTTTGACATGTAATATAATATATTTGTCAGCTTTATTTTAAAAAGCATATTCCACCAAGTTTAGATATTCTTTTGTAAATCCCTTTTTAATTTTTCTTCAAAATTTTAATTTCTTTCTTTCATTTTCACAAAATTGCCTTTTTTCAAAAACTGATTTTCTGAAAATTAAAATCTTTTCTCCTTTATTTTTCCCAAAATTATTTTCTCCCTTTTCTTTTTATTTTATTCTTGTGCACTAAATGTGATGCTTTCTTTCAAACACTACTTTACCAAAATTATTAACATAATAGTTTTTCCCTTTATTTATAACATACTTCTTTCTGATATTTTTCTTTTCCTGTCACTACGGGAAAAAAAAGTGGGGTTTTATGGCTGCTTTATGGCGGTTTGACAAGGCGGCTTTGTGGCGGTTTTTTGCCAAATATCCACTTTGCCCCCCTGGAGTTTAAATACATATTACAGATCTCCGCTTTCTGATTCTCCTTTGTTGGCTCTTCTATTGGACAGCGTTTCATTCTTTATTGTATAAAGTATATTATATAATCGATTACTTTTATTGGGTACTCTCTTAAATGTCATTTATTACTTTAATATTTTAGCTTAGAAAGGAATTCTATTGGACACTAGTAATTTTTTTTTAATGTTACTTTTATGAAAACAGTTTTTTATTGGATAATATACATGTAAGTGTTTGATCATTTTAATAAATACAAATTTTTATTGGTTATTACAATAGAAGATCATTTTTATTAATCATTTTTATTGGTTGTTATGACAGAAAAAAAATCATATTGCTCATTTTACTGGTTATTATGACAGAAAAATAAATAATATTGTTTATTTTATTGGCTGTTAAAGCATAAAAAAATCTATAGATACATTTTATTGGCTATTTACTATTTAATATTCTAGGTTTTCATAGTAAAATATCCTATTCAATTCCACTACACCGGATTACTTACAAGACTGTAATCTTTTATGGCGGTCCCTCCAGAGATGTGCAACTCTTGCAGTTGATGCCCAGTTTCCGAGACATCTAGTGAAGTCTATACCAGAATCCTTCATTATATTTGCGTGCCTGGCACACATTTCTTTCTTAAGTGCTACTGGTATAGACCCCCAGCTAGGATTAGGACCAAGAGTGATCACTGAAGGATGGGCAGCCATATCATCACATATAAGCTTTGTACACATATTGAGTGTGGCCTTTTCGTTACTTGTTACTTCAATGCCAAGGTCTTCACTTATCATCTTGAAGATATGCTTTAAAGTTATTTCACGGAATATGCTCACCGGTTTGCGGATGGTATTAGCACTAGACTATTAAATGACATATTAATATATATTCAACTCGTTTTATTTTTTGTCTTACAATGGCAGAGACAGAAGGCGAAGTGTGTTGGTTGGAAATGTTTCTATTCTCCAGTTGGCTCTGGAGAGCAGTAATCTCCAAATTCAAATCTTCGATGCTCGTCTTCATTTCGAGCTTCAACTCTTCGATCTGTGCCTTCATTTCAAGTTTGGCCTTTTCTTGGCCTGCCTTCAAAGATAGTATCTCATTGTACATGGCGTGTAGCAAAGAGATGGAATTGTTATCTGTGTTATTCATGTTGAGAGTTTGGTTTACCTGAGAAAAAGGATTGTTGTGAAAGAAAGATAAAGGCCAAAAAAATTTTCTATTGTCTATTATTAGTTTCATATAAATGAGTTTAATCTATTGGTCCAACCAATATTATTATTGGGCTACTGTAGTTCTAATAACAGCTATTACGCAATGTTTTAGCTTCTGTTCCTGAGTTTATATTTGTATCATCTATGTCATTGCCTACTTGTAGTCATTAAGTCTATACAAATCTCAACGCTATTAAGTATAAAGGCATATTATTTAAAAGGAATTATCAATATTCATACCTTTATTCTTAAGTGTTTATTTCCAGCCTAAAAAATGTCTTCAAATTCAATCCTTGATAGTTACCAATGCAATCAATGCAAAGAGCGCCACACCAATTTAAAAAAAGCCAAGAGTTGTAGAGCTCAATGCTTTAAGAACTGTCATAGAAGACATAATGATATCCAGACTTCACAGACCACGCCTGTTCCTGGACAAGTCAGTGCTGTTTTGAACACTGTCTCGAACGACACTATCGAGTAAGACTACAAATCACATACATACTATTAGAAAGTGTAATTAATTATATTGTTACCTTCATAAACAAGCAGAGAACGTGCTGATGCAATCGAAGATCAGATCATGGATACACTCAACAGCAAAGATAACGATGATCCAATTATGAATATCTTCAGTAATGATGACAATGATGAGTCTATGGTAAGATATATATATATGTCTTATTATATAATGCTAATTATTATTTATCTTGTTAAAGTATGATGCGGAACTTGGCAACTACATGGATATCATTGAAAACGAAATATCTCCTTTGGTTTTTGACTTCAGTCAGCCTGCACCTACCCCTGACAAAGACGATGCAAAGAACCTTGAGTTTCTCAAGATCATTAAGGATTTTGGTATCTCCCGCAATGCCTATGAAATGATAGTCAAGCATTTCAACAGCATTTTGGAAACGTCAACTTGTATTACATACAGAGCATGTACCCCCCATCTTGGCAAAAAGCTTTTGAAGCGTTTCTCGGGTGTTGAAGAGACAGTCCATGATATCTGTCAGAGGGGATGTATGCTCTTTACCAGTCCATCCCAGACTGAGTGCTCCAACTGTGGACAAAGCCGGTACAAAACAAGACGCGGAGAAACCGAGGGTGGTGATCTGGTTGCTGCTGCCACGATGATACAGCTTCCATTGGCGAGACAACTGGCTCTTGTGTTAGCCAACGAGAATACAAGAGCAGATATGCACTACCGCCATAATCATGAGCCAAGCTCGGATGGAAGTAAAACCGATGTGTTTGACGGCCAGGTTTACCAGCAAGTAAAACATCTGTTTTCTGGAAAAGATGACATTGCAATTTCGTTGTCTGTTGATGGATTCACGCCACACAATGTTCCTGGTTCTGTAACGATCCTCCATGCCACCATTCTTAACCTGAATCCCATGGTCCGGTATGAGAGAAGCAGAATGCTCCAGATCGCAATGATCCCAGGTCCAGGTGCACCTGCCAATTTCTGGTCGTTCATGGAACCAACGATGAAAGAGCTCCTGGTGTTGGAGAGCGAAGGGATGGTCGTCAAGACACCAAACGAGACCATTCGTGCCAAGGTACATGTCTTAATGGTCACTGGTGACATTCCCGCCTTAGCAAAGTTGGCATGTCATTCTGGACATATGAGCAAAGACAGTTGCCATATCTGTCATGTTGTCGGCCAATGTCTTAAGCACAGACAATACTTCAGAACTTTGCCCAGCACCAATATCCGTACGCTGGAAAGTTTCCAGAATTTTTCCCAGGCCAGTGCATCCAGCCGCAAAGGGTTAAACGGACAATCCCCCCTGGCAACATTGAAGGTATTCTCTGGACCATTGTTTTTTGCCCTCGATGAGATGCATGAACTTTGCCATGGAATAAGCAAGCAGATCTGGGGTTTGGTTTCTGGTACCTACGGAACAGACCATTGTTTTGTTCTTTCTTCCGGTGTTCAGAAGGAGATCGGTACAGCAATGTACAAAACAAGAAATACCATCCCTACATCCTTCCATGGCGATTGGAGGGATGTATACAAGAACCCCGGGTCGTTCAAGGCCATCGATTGGGCAGACTTTCTTCTGTTCGTCGTCCCTACGCTGGTGGCAGAGCGTATTGGAGATGCAACTGCCCGGAACGCGTTACTTGGCTTGGTTCAAGCATGTAACCTACTCATGAGCTGGAAGTTATCAGCAGAGGAACAAACCTCTATCAAAAGGTATATTTTAGTAAAAGCTATGTGTTATTCTATTATTTATTCTAACTATTTTTCTTCAGTAAACTTGAAATATGGAACATGTACCTGGAATCGCTGCTTACAAGTGGAAAAATCAAAATCAATATTTTCACTATAAACCAGCATCTTCTTCAGCACTATCCTCTCATGATTGACGCATACGGCCCACCTCGTGCATATAGCGCCAGATCCGTGGAACGGGCAATCGGTGAATACTCAAGGGCTATCAAGAGTAATTCTGCTATAAATGTTAACACTGGCAATATCATGCTTGGCTTAGCACAAATACGACAAGCAGAGGCCGGAGCCACTGTCATGATTACAGAAGCAAGAACAGCACGACACTTACAATATGAAGATTCCACTGCTGGTTGGCCGTTGACAGATGAGGGTGAGCGTGTTGGTGCTGGGTCTGATATTGAGTTCTGGGGGCCTTTGAGGAATAGAACGATCCGAGATAGTTTTGAAGGCATTTCTTGTCTTTCGAAACTTCTTGAAGACTTCTACGAATCAAAGGGGGAAGAGTGTAGTATGATTGAAGCAGCTATACAAACTAGCCGCAAGGCATTTGTCAATGGTTGTGTGATTGACTCTGCACTCGACCAAAATTGTGTAAGGGAGGCACATAACATCAGATTACAGATTCAGGTTGATGAAAACTGCAACATAAATTCTGCATACTCCCCAGTTTACAAGGATTTCTTCGGAAAAGTTGTTGTCTTCTTTGAGCACAAGCTCAACAAGAAGAGGTGGCCGCTTGCTCTTGTAGAGATTGCGGCAGTCCGTTTGGTAAATGGTATACCAGTTGTTAACAATGGGCAAATGAAGCCAAAGGTAGTTCACCTGGCAGATGTCAAAGAATTGGTTGGTTTGGTGAAGTCGGACGCGACTATAAATACAACAACAACAACAACAACATACATAGTGTGGCCAGAGCTTAACTGCGGCCCAAAATTGTTACTTGGTTCTCTTGCAGACCTATAATTTGTTTTTTTTTGTAATACATTTTTTTTTTCAAATTGTCTTAACATATTTTATTTTCTCAGCAGAAAGTTTAGATATTTTCTTCTCTTTTTCTTCTGACTTTTAATAGTCATCAAATGCAATCTACATTTACTAAAAATGTAAAGTCTGTAGTTAAAGCTTACTTTTGTCTATCAGGAGATTTAATTTTAGGTGGTCAATTTGCTTTTTGTCAACCTTTTCAAAAAACAGAGATTTTCTAGTTTCAAATTGGATTTTTAGTGATTTTTTAATTATTATAGGCCGAAAACATAGTCACAAAAGCAAAAAACCGCCATTTTTTCCCGTAGTGTGTAGTTATATATTATACATCTACTGATTTTTTTAAAGACCAGTTGCCATTTTTTTAAAATAAAGTTGATTGCGCTAATTTTTTTTATACGGAACAAGAAAATGCAGAACCTTTTCAAAAAGTAATTTATCAAAAGCAGAAAATATGAGAGGTCAGATGATAGGAGTTAAATTAAAGAAAAAAGTATTTTAAAAATTATTTTATTGATTTCAAAAAATAATAATTCTATAATTACGCATCCTATATAATAGTAGCTATTCTACTATAATAGAATCTCTGCAATAGCAGCTATTATATAGCAATAGCATATAGAATAGAACAATGCTTTAAATATTTTAAAAGCTAGATATACGAAAACTTACTATGAAAGAAAAAAAATGAATTGTTTAAATATCATTTACTAATAAAAGTCATTGAAATTATCTTGATATTGGATAGATAGAAACATATTATGATCAGTTTACCTAAATATTGACATGATAATTAGAGTGAAGATCATAGTTGGCTTAGTTATACAGTGGTCCCTCGATAATTTCAAGGCCTAGGGAAGGCCAGGTGTCTTGAAATTATCGAAGAGTGAAATTAACGAGTTCGGATTATATATTTTCCGCCAACTATGGGCGGAGTTTACATTATTCTTTAATAGAAAAAAAATATATCAAGTAATGATTCGATATGCTTCAATCCTCTGTTTAAATTCATTCTAGTTAAATATAACCCCTGGCTGCATTACTGTTTTCTACCCCCCTGTCTCGTAACCAATTATTGTTTCAAATTCTTATTCAATCAAATAATAACAGCTTTTTGGTATGCTTTTAGCTTATTATATAATGCTTATCTAATATCATTTTCAATTTTTTTTGATACTTTAATGAAATCTATCAAATCCAGAACTAAACAATAAAAATGAGCAAAAAAAACGTTTCACTTAATATTGCAAATCACCTTGAGATTTGTGATATTAAAAAGAAAAAGCCATCTATGAGTAACCCCCAATTGGCTGAATGGGCAAAGGAAACCTTTGGCCTTCAAAAAGCTCCTGATGCTTCTACAATCTCGAAGATTTTGAAGAGAGGAGACCAGGGCTTGATAATGCAAGCCGACGTAAAAAACAGAAAGCGCGTTAGAAAGGGAAAATGGCCTGTATGTAATATATCTCAACATTATGCATTTTTGCTCCATATAAAAAATAAAATTAACCTTATTATATTGTCACACAACTATAGCAAATTGAAGAAGCAGTGATTCTTTGGATCAACATTGCTGAAAATAATCAGATTCCCATCACTTGGGAATTGATTAAGACTAAAGCTACTATTTTTGCTGAAAGAATAGGCGTTAAAGATTTTAATGCTTCTCAAGGCTGGATGGAGAAGTTTGGAAAGCGTCATTGCATTAAAATGAATCGAATTCATGGTGAGGCTGGTTCTACTGATATAGAATCGCTTCAGATTGACAAGGCTGCCATCAAAGAGAAGATAGAGGGATATAGTGCTCGTGACATATATAACTTTGATGAAACAGCACTCTTTTATGCTGCCCCACCAAGAACAACAATTTCTCACCAGAAATTTTCTGGTTGGAAAGATAACAAGAAGCGCCTGACTGTAGGTCTCTTGTGTAATGCGGACGGAACGGACAAGTGGTCCGATGTACTGATGATTGGGCATGCAAGAAGACCAAACTGCTTCAACAAGAACAACAAGAAGCAAGAAGCAAGTGATCATGGATTCTCCATGTATCATTACAATAGCAATGCTTGGATGACAAGATCGATCTTTCATGTTTTCCTCCGTCGCTTTGATCATGCCATGAAAGCTCAAAAGCGCAAAGTTCTTTTGATTCTCGACAATTTCTCTGGTCATATAGTTGATTATACACCTACAAACGTCGAGCTTCTTTTTTTGCCACCAAACACCACTTCCCACCTTCAGCCATTGGATGGTGGTATCATTCGGGCTTTTAAGGCTTATTTCAAGCGTAAACAGTATGCCAAGGCATATCAGTATATTGGCATGATTCAAAATGGCAATCAAGATAAAATCGGGCCAATTGATAAAATCTTTGAAATTGATCAATTGTGGGCCATGAAATGGATAAGAGAGGCTTGGGAATCTGTCTCGGCAAAGACTATTGAGAACTGCTGGAATGCAACAATCTTTCGCTTTATTGAAGACGAAGATAGTGAAGGTAGTAGTAAAATAATTTATTGGTCATAATAGTAGTATAATCTTTCAATTCCACTTTCTTAATATTCTAAATATAATTTATAGATGTAAACCAGGCTATGATTCAGCAAAGTCTGGCTGAAAAGGTTCTCGTTGAGGGTTTACAAGAAACCCTGGACAAGATTGCTGGATCAGGTCTTCTGTCTCTGGAAGATTGTCCGACCAGCGAATCAGATCCACTCTATGAGAGACAATGCACTCATAGAGTGATCAATGAGAATGAGATCGCTGACATTGTCATGAAAGAGTATGACGCAGACGACAATGCAGCCAACAACAACAGCAATGAAGAAATTGCTGAAGTGGAATCAGCAGTTCCTTTCAAGAGAACTTATTCTGCTTCGGACAAGTTTGAGTGTGTTTGCACGCTTTTGGATATCTTGGAAGACGAGGATATTGACAGAGACTTCGTCAGTAAGGTTGAAGGCCTTAGAAACAAGTTCCAGAAAACCGCGAACTCAAAGCAAACTAAAGTAACCAGCTTCTTTAAGTCTTTTTAAAATTTATTCTTTTTCAAATAAAATAAAAACAATTTTCTATAAGAAATATATTTTTCTTCATTTAAAAATAGAAAAAAAAAGTTAGCAGCCAAGTACAGTCAAAGCTTGATTTTGTAATATGTTTGTAAATAGTAACAATTGCAAATAACAATAAATAGTAATGACAGATAGAAATAATAAAATCTACAATAAAAACTTTTATAACAAACAAATTAGAATTATATTTATATTTTTCAAGTGAATAATCTTTACTAAACAATTAATAAATGAAACTTAATCAAAATATAGCACATATAGTTTTATTTTATTTCTAAAAAAAAAAATGAAAAAAAAAATTTAAAAGAAGTAAGCTAGATGACAACTTGATAACCCAGTGTTTGGCATGAAAACTTAACGCACTTGACATTGATGTCAATTACAAAATCGTGAAAAGCTAGAATTAAAAAAATTTAAACCAAGCTATAACTATATTGCTCTCGTCTGATTGGCTAATTTTTTTTTCTTTAAGGATTCAAGGCCAAAAAATTTCGTGAAAGTGAAATTAATGAGAATCGTGAAAGTTAAGCCCTATTTTTCGAGTTGGGTCTTCAGAGCCTTGAAATTATCGAAGCGTGAAATTAAAGGGGCGTGAAATTATCGAGGGACCACTGTATCATCATATGAAATATAATCACTATCATGCATGATAAATCTGTGTGTTAAATAATAAAGTAATTGGTAGACACCTTTGACTGGAATAGCTGAGGCCTTATATTATTTCCTTCAGACTTATTCTCAATTACAGCAGTAGTCAATACTCATTTACAACAATACTGAAGCTCTATTGGCCCAGAAGAATGTTGCCAGGTGGCACTTTTTAACGATTTTTGCCAGGTCGGTAGTTTAATACCTGCCATTTCTTACAATGTTAGAGAATAATTATGTTTTCCAATAAATTTTATCCAATTAAATCTTCTGTTTTCCAACTCTCTGTCATTCTCTCTCCCCCCATTTCATACATTTATATCATCTGAATTTTATTTATGGTACACAAAAATATTATTTCATCCTTTTCTGGCATATGTCTCATCATTTTGCCACCCAAATCTGAAGCTTTTCATGTTTAATCTCAATTCATACTCTAAGCCAATAGAAATTTTGGTTTCGACAAGAAATTTCCATATTTAGGAGAAACCTCAATGGGTATGAAATCTTACACAATAGAAGATATAATTGTGTGCCCATTAGAATAACGCAGTAGGGAATAGTTATATATTAACTGCCTGTAGGATAAAGCCCCCCCCCCCCCCCCCGAGGGGAGGAGGGAGCGAAGCTCCTAGTATATATATCATCATACATATTATTAAAATCAACCGGCCCTGTATATCACATGACTTACGATCGCACTTTTATAAAACAGTTAAAAAGAAAGGAAGTTATAAATCACATGACTTACATCAAACCATTAAAAAGAAAGAGAGGTGCTCTGCACGTGAGTTATATGGAATCTAATCATCTTTCGATTGCATTTAATATCTCAATTATTGATAAATCTCTATTGTAATGTAAATCATGTCCATATAACAAAATGTCTTTACTATTAAATCACTGTTTGCTTTGAACATCTTTAAAAATTATATTTTTTTTTCTTATTACTACCAACTATTATTACTATTATTATACTTATAAATTATATATAAATAAGACATTGTAATGAACTTTTACAGCTATACTTTACTTAATTTAGCTACTATTACTTGAAGAAGTCATCTTACTGCGTCTTAACACATGGATTTTACTCTATTATTCAATATTACTTGAAGATATTCTCTTGAATTTATTCTAATTATCATATTACTTCAGCACATTGTTGATTTACATATGATTCAAATCTATTTTAAATTATGACAAGTCTGTCATTATTGGTACAATCATTATTTTGAAAAGGAGTATATATAGGGTCCCTGTAAAGTTCATGTCTTTCAGAAAAATAATAATCTTACATATATTCTTTACTATTTCTCTATCTCCATTTACACTTGAATTTAGCTTAATTACAAAACCAATTACAATTTATCAAACATCAATATGACTCCTGCTGGACCTATTTGTGCTTCATGTAAACAATTGGGTCACAGCAGGAGATCAAATTTTTCTTGCCCTTTGAACCCAAGACACAAAACTCTCTTGATCCCCCAAAAGAGAACCAGTGATAATCTCTCTGCCCAAGAAGAATATCAAGCAGAGAGTATTAGAGATAACATTAAAACAGATTACTTTAATTCATCGGATCGACTTGCACAGTTTCTAACTTATTTGCTTTCATCTGCATTTATATGTTTATTTAGCTGGTGCTTCGAGACCAAGAGTTGAAGCTGTTCAGAATTCTGTGGTACTTACTGTGGCAGAAATCAATGCTCTCTCCCGTGCTGCCCAATATCCTGCAGAGAGTAGTCGAGGTAAATAAATAAAGTGTAATTGATTAATATTCAGCAAAAATTCTAATCATTTTTTCTACTCTATATATTTCTGCATTTAGCTGCTGCTTCAAGACCAAGAGTTGAAGCTGTCCGGGATTTTGTTGTGCCCACACAACTATTGTCAATTGACCTCTCCTTCACAGAACAATATACTGCAGAGAGCGACAGAGATAATTTTTAAAATTATATATAAATTGCCACAATTATTAATTATTTTTTAATATTTTTATTATAGATCTAACTGCCGCTTTTGAGGCTTTGCAAGTTTCTGATGTTGAGAGAGTCTTGGATTTGACTACCACCACTGCCACTGTTATTTCCCGCTGTTTCAGCTGTAATGGAATTGGTCACCAACGGAGTAACAGCTTGCAGTGCCCTAACAACCAAAGGAACTGCAATTTTGTCCCCGGCCAGTTAACTACCACTCACAACATGGCCCGGCGTACTACCGCCTCTGCAATGGTACCCGCCTTATATGCAATGACTTTGGCAGATATGTCATCAAGTCTACCATTGTAACTGGATCAAGTGCTGGAAAGGTGGTGCTTATCCCAAGAATCAAGCTGAACCCAACTGGATCGACCATGTCCATTGAGTTCAAGCGATGTCAATTTCCAGTCCGCCTTGCCTTTGCCATGACTATCAACAAGTTCCAAGGCCAGATTCTTGACAAAGTTGGTTTGTACCTTCCCGACCATGTCTTTGGTCATGGGCAGTTGTATGTCGCTCTCTCTTGGGTCCGAACTCCAAACTCAGTAAAAATCATGGTTGATATGGACAGTATTTCTACCGAAGCAACCAGCAATGTCTAAATAAACAATGTTGTTTATAATGAAGTGCTTTCTAGAAATTAACTAATCTGTTCCATATCATATGCTTTCTGCCCTATGCCTTTATCCAAATATGGCAATCTTTTTCTATATGCTTTATTTTTATTTTTGTATTTTTTGTATTCACGTTATTTCTGCTTATACTTATCTTTATCTTTATGGTTTTTTTTTTTACTTTTTTTTTCAAATATTTTAATAATTTTTTTTAAAAATTGTCAATACCAATTGTGTATATGACAAAGTATAACAATTTCTTTCCTTTTTGAAAATATCAAAATACAAACCCCCAAAAAAAATATGGCTTCAAGATATATTCCTTACTATTATTTTATTTTTATTACTACAATAAACCTTTATAATAACAAAATCCAAATAAACTCAGACGAACGGTTTTTTCTTTCTTTTCATAGTATGGTTATTTCTTAATGCAGTCCCGCTGGGGACGCCGGTCTACATCGTATATTATTAAACTATACTCATTTTTACAAATCAGACTATCAATGACTGGACTATTTGTTTATTATTATTATCTTCATACATATTCTTTTTTTTTCTCTGCTATTTATTTTTTTGCTTGATAGCATAAACTAAACCGGGGTTTGAGTTGGATCAGAGCCTGCGATACGGAGTGGGCCATAAAATGTTGTTCTTCCAATACCGGTACCAATGGAAAGCATATAGTCTGATCCAGGCGCAATACCTTGTGGTAGGTATACGGTGGCACTGACGTAAGGAAAATGGAAATCGGTGTACAGAGTAGCAACATGAGAGTAAGATAATCTGGTTCCTTTCAAAAGATTGACCTTGTAATTAGGTGTGGGAAGAATAGGGGTAGTCCATGCCATGGTAACGGCGCTTCCGGCTATCAGAGTACTTCCACGTGCTGGCGAAGTGATGTGCAAAGGTTTAAAGCGATAGCGCCTTGATGATGGGGCAGCATTTGCACAAATGGCAATGAAGAGAAGAAGAGGCAGCAAGAAATTGAACTTCATGACAAGAATTGGCAGAAATAGATTTTGGGATGTGTAGTGAGGGCATGAATAACACAGCTGTATTTATATTCAATAAATGGCTGATATACTAGCGGGCAAGTAGGTAAGTATATATGTATGTATGTATAGCTTTTTACTTTCACTTCTTCTATAAGTGGATAATTCCGTTAGATACTTGGCTTAGTTATAGTGCTTGTAGAATAGGTGTAGTAGGTAAAGCTAACCACTGGGGCGTTCATTACATCTTCTTTAAAAAGGGCATAGATGAGCCTACAAAAGGTTTCAATGGAGCAGGTATATTGTAAAGCCCATCTTACTCTCATTAAGAGACGGCTGTTGTTTTTTTTTTTAAAAAAAATAAGAAAATAATAATACAAGCCATTTTACATGTACTAAATATCAATATCTATTATAAATATTGTGGGAATATTCATTTCCAAAGCGATTTGATAGAGTAAGAAGAGTAAAGTGATGATATGCCTATAGATATAGCTTAAATAAAAAAAATATATGGGCTATCCGTGTGTCAATAAGACTGTACAAACTTTCCCCGCAGCCACGTTCAAAATAAAAATAAAAATCAATCAACCCTTCCTATACCCCTCACTAATATATATATATATATATATTTCAAATTCGTCTCTAGACCCGAGTTGAAAAATCAGGATTCTTTTTCCTTTCCTTTGTGTCATAAAAACTAGTTCGTATATATTAATATATAGAAAAATAGAGGCCGTATCTGACTATGTACAATTCTTTGTTTTGGAGAGATTACTAATAGTCTGATAGTAGTAATAAATTCTAAATAGCCACAAAACGGCTTTGAATATCCCACCGTTGTTATTAGGAGACTAAATAGTGCACAGGTATTATTTGGGAATCAAAAGCAAGATATTCCTATAAAAGACATTCCCTCGTCTTTTTAATTGTACTACTAGAATTGCTCATCTTGTGTATCCCGTCCGATCTTGGACTTTGTGCTCGAATTTAATTTCAGTCTCTATTTTCTTTGTTTTGGATTTAGTGAGGCCTTCTATCAGACTCTTATATATGTATAAAAGGAGCAGCTTAATCTATAGTTTACATCTTCAAAAAAATATGTAGTATTTGCGGCATATGTCTTAACAAACCCTTGAATACACTTTCAAAGTTACTCCTTTTTTAATTTTGTTGAAACAGTGCCCGATGCTTTCTTTTATATAGCTCGGTGTCGCTACGAGCAAGAAAAGCAAGAAGAATCCTCTTCAATACCGTCATTATACAATCCTTATTTTCTTTTATATATTTTAATAATCAATAACTAGTCTTAGTTACTTTAATGTATTAACAATCCTTCTTTCTTGGTACCAGTAGCTATATTTATATATACAATCTTTGCCTCCTTTATTTTAAAAAAAACTACAATGAGCAACTACTGATATAACGCACTTGATGTCTCTTTTGTAAGTGTTGAAAACAAAAGCAAAATAAGATTATTTATGGTATATTCGGTAGAACAAAGTCAACTGCTCTACGGTACACACATAGCCATTTTTATGTTTACTTTAGTTTGGGTAGTATCTTTGTTATACGCTACAAATATAATGACCTGGCAGACCAACAAGGTTCTTTTGGAGAAAGCCAAGTTACTTTTCTTTCCCTTGATTATATCACGGATCTATGTGAGTTTTTCTGTATTTAACAGCTGCTCTGAATAACTACAGCTGATAATGGGCTAAAAGATGTGTATACATGTACTCATGTGTCTCGGTTGAGCTCGGGGTGTAATGGTTGTCTTGGTAATAAAATCTGTCGTTTTCGGAAAAGTTTTTTAAGGATTTAAAATCAAAGAAGGATATTTGTGTTTGTTTCTAGACAATGGTCATAATTCGGGTTATATAATACCAGCTATATATATATTAAGATGGGAACAAAAGTTAATATGTATATACAATTAAATATCTTGAATCAAGATAACTGTGCATTGGATCTGGTTTGATCTCAACAATGCAATGATATCGAGTACCACACTTTTAGAACAAGTCTACTAGGTAGTAATATCAGCAAGTATCATTTTATTTTTAATATATACATATCCACATTTGCACATGTGTGTGTATTTAGCTGTAATGACACAATTACGGCTGACTTCTTAAAAGCCCAAAGTAATACCTTGTACTGTTTCAAGAAGAAAAAGAAGAAGAAGAAAAATTCAAAAAAAAGCTCTTAAATTTTTATGGTTCTCCAGAAGAGCAATATTTTATCCATAAAAGTCAATTAAAAGAGAAAATTTAAGCTTCAAACTTAAACAAAGCCTCGTACTGTGGCATACATTGTACAACCCTAGAAACTGTAATAAAGAGAGTGACTATTATGAACCATAAAAAGAAATAGAGAAAAAAAAGAAGTTTCGAAACAATATCCTTGTGTCTACTTGTCATTTCAATTCATCAATTTTTTTTATCAAAATACTGAGTATTTACAGGATGATATTAAATATTAACCTTTAGAAAAGAGATTTATTATAAAACACATCGCCGTACAGTACAGTACGGTGGGTCACATCATAAATCAGCACAAAGCAAGATGATCAAAACGATTTAAATATATTTATATATAATAATATGTAATGGGTGGCACGGAACAGGCTAGGAATGTCAAAAAGAAAAAAAAAAGAAACAATTAAGGTCTGTGTATATAAATAATCGCCACAGTTAGCTAAGCTATTGTAAGCACAATTTACATAAATAGAGAACCACAAGAGACAAGGATTTGTTATAAATACGTGCTCGCCTTAAACTTAAGAAGAAAATACACCTACACAAATACACACACACACACAAACCCTCTCTCTCTCTCTCTCTTTTGCTTTAATTGATCATGAAGACCACCTTGGTATCTTTTCTACTCTTGATTATATCCTTCTCCATAAATGGTGCTCCAATCGATCTTCCAGAATCAGAGGTGTTACCTATTGCCGTCTTGACTGCACCATTGCCGAATACTTCTTGGAAAGTTGGAACAAGTCAAACTGTGTCCTGGAGTTTTTCTCAAAATGGCATCTCCACATTTAACGTCAATTTAATGAACCCTGGAAACCCACCTACACTTAACCGAATTCTGGCTCTCAACACGGAATCCAGTATAGGATATGTTGGAATCGTGGTTCCGTTAGATGTACAACTCGGTTCTGGTTATTCTGTTGATATCACTAGAGATTTTGTTGTCTTGTCTACCGTTTACAACCTGACCATCACTGACCAAGATCCTCCGATAATCCCTTACTATATTTGAAAACAGTGCGCAAACCTTTGTGATCTCAAAAACCAGACGTTCTTAACCACAATGTACAATTTTCTTTATTAATATTAGCTCCTTTATTTTATTTATTTTTATGGAGGAGCGTCTTTTTACTGTGTATAATCATTCATTCATTCATTCATTCATTCTAATTCTCTTCTTTTTTTACTTTAAATCTTTCGATATAAAGTATGTATAGATCTTATCCCCATATATCTCATCTTCTGACTATCAAAATAATAATCATTTTTCAAAGAGAAAGAAGAAAATGTAATAAAATTTGCTAAGATTTTAACTCTGCTCTTTGAATATTCACAAGTCCAGATGATTAGATATATTTATGTAGATATAAGGATAGATAGAGACAGAGTATTTAATATGCGATTTGCTGGTTTATTTGATAAAATTCAAGTAAATCAACTATCGATGCTTTTAACTATCAGGATTTGGCGGGTATGGCTTCTAGAAATATGCTAGGAAAACATATAGGAACATTAAAAAACATTTTGCTCTTTCGTAATGCAAATTTAAAAATGGAGAAATAGACAAAAAGGACAAAAAAAAAAGAAAGAAAAGCATCATTTCCTTTTGGCTCACTCGAAATTTCTTGTGCTCTCCGATCATTTTAGCCAAGTAGGCCAATAAATGAGCCGGCGGGACATTTCGGTCAATATATACACATATAATATAAATAAAATAGAATAGACTGAAAAAAAATTGAAAAAAAAAGAAAGAAAAATATCACCCCTATTATCGTTACCATTAGTATATCTTATTTTGTCACCATGCACACATTCAAGGTCAATATTCCTGGTCATCGTCGAGGAAGGCCACGTACAAGAGCTAGCCCCAAAGATAGGCAACCTCCTTCTACCTACATTCCTCTGATACCTAATAGTACACCCAATTATTCCAAGCCATCATCTTTTCACACATTCAGAGTCAATATCCCAATCAAACCAAAGAGAATCAAAGCCGATCAGCCATTGGAGATCACTCGTCGAACTATAGCACCAAAAAGTGCCGAACCAACTGAAACTTCATCTTCAACTAGTCAATTAAAACACAAACAGCCAAACAGTTCTCAAGTCTTATCTTCATCGGTGTCGTCAGGCCACTCTAAACAACCCGAACTTGACCCTTCTTCAAAACCTGACACTACTACTGATACTACGGATACTACGGATACTACTGAAAAGACTGCTACTAATGCAAATACTGCTACTACTAGTACTAGTACTGCTACTTTTGCTAGCACTGCTACACAAATTGCTCCAGAAACTTACGAAAACCCGACCAACCCTGCTGTATTCAGACCCGCCGATCCGAATAGCTCACAATATATTCAAGAGGTTCCAAGGCCTAGAGAAGATCAATTTTATATGTACAAACCCCAACCAATGGTGATAGTTAATGATCCTCGACCTTTATTATATTATCCCCCGCCAATTGTACCGATCATGAATCAACAACCTAACAATAACTACAACAACAATTACTACTACTACAACAACAACAACAACAACAACAGCACCAATAATAATAGCAGTAGTGGTAGTAATAGCTATAGTAAGAAAAAGAAAAAGCTGGTGCGTGAAATACCATTAAAAACCAAGTGCCAAAAGATTCTTCCTGCTCCATCCGCCAATCCTCCTCCTCCTCCTAAAGTCGAGACTCCCAAGATGACGTACACACATACTTTCAAAGTTGATATTCCATCAAATCGTAGAGGACGTTCCAAATCAAAAGCCACAGATAGCAAGATCCAGGGATCGGCACCTATATCCAAAAAGGCTCGAACGGCTGCACCAAAAAATAAGCAAAAGAAAGCTGAACAAAATTCTTCCTCTTCCTCTCTTCCAGTTCCTGCAACTGTTTCTGCTCCTCTTCCTCTTCCTCTTCGTGTTGCGACTAAGACTACTAAAACTACTGCCAAAACTGCTGCTACAACTGCTACTACCACGACTGCTACCACAATTGCTACTTCCACAACTGTTGTTGCTACGCCTAGTGCTCCAACAACTAGTGCTCCAACAACGACTACTCCGATGGTTGCTACTTCTGTCGATATTACTGCTACAAATACTACTGCCGTCCAAACAGAAAATACACAGAGTAACCAACCTGGAAATGCTATTTTACCGCCAGATACCAATAATCAAAGCAGCTCCAAGCCTACCAAGAGTTCCATGAAATCATCCAATAGCCTTATATCATCTTTTACACACATCTTCAAAGTAAATCTTCATAATAATGGGGGTCGACGCAAGAAGTCCTCGAGAATACGCGAAGAATTGCAGCCAGTACTCCAACAAAAACGTATTTGACGAAAGAAAGAAAGAAAACCCTCTCCCCCTCAATGACGTGTATTCGCTCTATATCTGTCTCTGTCTATCTCTTTCTCTCTATATATATACACACATACAAAAATGCGCAAGTACACACCCAGGTATATATATATATATATATATATGCATCATGCGACACATAAAGTGTGTAAGAAGAGGAGGAGGAAGAGGATGGATAAAAAATGATGTGTTTACGGATAAGACACAGTCAAGTGAAAAAATGGATTGAGATAAGAAGAAGAATAAAAAATAGAGAAATAGAAATAGAAAGGATCAAATACAAATGAAGTGTGAACCGAATTCAGGTAGCAAGCGTTACTTATCGTATTCAACTGTCACAACCGCTATTAGTACTGTTGCCATTACAACCGCAACTACAACTACAACTACAACCACCACGATCATTATCATTATTAGCATTATCATCATCACCATCATATTCATCACTACCACCGCAAACAAATATAAAAATTGGGTCATTACAATGGAGCAATTCTTGGAAAGACGGATATATTGATGGATTGAGAAAGATATATGTACATGTATATAGAGAAAGAGAGGGGGATTGCTTTTATGATAGAGCAAGACATACAAAATCAAATAGAATTTGTTTGCCATGGCACTCTTATACAAAGAAATACAATAGGTAAGAAAGATAATGGTTATGTACTATTTATCCTCAAATTACTTTGTGCCAAATAAAATGGCTATTTAAAGAAGTGTTTTGTTTTATTTCATTTTTTTAACATCATAATATGATATATATATATATATATACTGGTATAAATCATAGTATTTTCCTCACTCCATCTCTCTCTATCTCTCTTTAAGATATAATGATTTTAATGTTAGTAAAAATGAAGAAAGGTCAATTATTCATGATCAATTCCAAAAAGAAAACCAAAAGCAGAAGGAAAAAATGGACATATTTGATAAATTCATAAACCAAAAGAAATTCAAGCTTTTGAGTGATTTACTTGATTTATTCTTCTAAATGTATTCATCAGCATTACTCTTACCTTAGAGTTGATGTGGACAGACTAAAACGTTCAAATCTATATTAGATAAAATTGAAGTGTCCATAATATCACACCTTCCATCATTTAAGAATCTTTTGTTGTCAGGTTTTCTAGACCTTTAATCCTATGGCACGTCTCTTCAATTAAAAGCATAATATTCTCAATCCAATAGGAAATTAAAGAAGACTACAGTCAGAGTTGTCCGAACATTTTAGTCTGTCCACACCAACTAGTCGTAAGTTCTTATGTATTTATATTATATTTTTTAAACGCAAATAAACACAAAAGTAAATAATGCTTTTTTTGTTTCAATAAGAGTCTTATAGTTATAGATATATCTGGTGTAGCTTGAGATAGTCTTGAGTCTGCATAAGACCAACATACGAGACAAATGTTGTTACCTTTGACAGCATGTTTTGATTCATTCATTATTTCCCAAAATTATTTTTGCATATATAATAAACCAACAAAATACATTTTATTTCCATAGCAATACATTACATTCAAAATCATGTCCAACCACACATATTTTCGACATAAAAGAAAAAAAGAATACACACACACAAAGAATATTTCTTTTTCTGAAATAGGAGGTTGAATAGGACAAACTAGAAGAATGCTTGCAATCAAAGCTTCCGTTAGTTTACTTGTTAGATCCAATTGATCCAAGGCAATATAAATAAATAATCAAACAGACATACAGAGACTAGACAATTATAGGAAAACTGTTCTCAATACACATCTTGGGATCTAATGTCTTTCAAAGATGCCAACAAAAAAGAAAGCAAATAGTTTTTTTTTTCATGCTCTTCCTTAAAGATCAGTCTTATCTGTCACTTTACATCAAAATTTAAGGTGATAAAAAATAACATACAAAGAAACAAACTTAGTAGGTGAAGAAATCTTTGGAATTATAAATCCTACCCCTCTTCCCTTTCACAACCACGCTTTTATCTTCTTTGTTTGTTTGACACGGTCGAATGGTTATGGACAAGATCAAAAGAGAACACTAAGTTTCTTCTTTTTATTTTTATTCAAAAAGGTTAAATATAATTGTTTATTTATAAATGTCTCGTAGCGTTAGTTTTGATGTCCTATCAATAGTACCCAGACCCAAAGATACACTCATTCAAGTGTCATCATAAACCAAGGTTCCTGTATTTCTACCACTGTTTATTTTTATTATTTGTTTACTACCAATCGGTTGGCTTGGAAACACATGTGTCTGGCAGTAATGAGGACTATCTTTTGAGTACAAAAAGCAAAAACACTGTAATAAATAAGTTCAAACTTGGTTCAACTTCTTTATACAACTGGAATTTATAAATATATGCGTTTATCTACTCAGTAACTTGCTTTGTGCCACAATCTCAAAACAGCTAATGATTTTTTTTTCTTGGTTACAAAAATATGTAATATGCGTCATTATTGTTAAGAAGAGGAAACCTATTTTATTTTATGTTATTTTTTGAAACAGGTATTAATTTTCACTACCAAAGGATAATTATTCTTTTCTTTAATATTTATATATATATATATCAGATTGCTTTTGGAAATATAGTGTATAAATAAATATTATGTATAAAAATACATGAATGCAGGTGCAATCAATTATATTTTTATACATCTTTTGTTAAATAACCATTAAAGGAGAAAATAACATTAACGGTTACATGTTGTGCTCCCAAAGGCTTATGCACTACCTAATAAATGTCACTATGATCCCCACAATCCATTCAATAATTCCAAGTAAATTATATATATATATATATTATTTATTTATTTATTTATTTACATTAACAATACATAATATAAAAAAGATATATAGATTGTTTTTATAGAATAATTGACTGGCTAATATTTTCTATTAGTTAGTATTAATAAGGATAGTGATAAATGATAAATGATAACGATAACAGTGGCCAATATCTTTTGTTTAGTTTTTTTTTTTTTAGTTTTGGAGCTCTTCAATTCGCTCATTAAACTCCTCTCTAATATCAGAAATCTCCTGTTCCAGCTGCTCGTTTGTAACATAATCACTTTCAGCACTGGCTGCAGCAGTGGGCGTGGTGGTGGTGGTGGTGGTGTCATCTACTGCATCATTGTGCTCTGTGCTTGATGAAAGCTTGGATTCCAAAGCAGTAAAGAATGTGTTCCACTCTTCAACGGTGGTATAAGAGTCAGTGGTGGATTTGACATCGTTCAACTGGGACTCAAGATCGGGGTAAGAGTGGACCAGAGACTTGGTCATGCGATCCCACTCGGCCTGGATTTCGGAAACGTCGGGGTGGTCCTTTGCGTATTGAATGGTCTCGGTCAAGATCTCCTTGACTTCGCTGTCTTCCTCTGCGCTAGAGTCAGCTGTAGACTCGCCAGATCCTTCGGGGGTTTGGTTAATTTCGGACAAGACATTGTTGACATGTGTGTTTCCGCTGTAATCACCAGGAACGACACGCATGCAGCCATAAGCAGAGCGACCAGTGTTACAGTCAACCTTATAGAACGTGCATCATTATTTATATATATATATATATATATATATATTTAGCTCTTGATCTTTTTGTTTTTTGTTTTCTAAAATTGAATCTCACCTTGTTTTGGCAACAGCGAATGCAGTAACGGTTGTCGGCAGGCTCAACAACATTGACAAAGTAGTTGTAACCAGAGCACTGGGCACCAACAGGCTTTCCATTACCTATTTAATTAACATATATTAATTTTTTCTCTGTCTCTTAAAAGTAATAGTCACAACAACAGGGTTTGGAAGCATACCGTGGTTATCGTACTAAAGATCAAAGGCATCTTAAGGTTAGTCGAATGTTCTTCTTTATACACGCATTTGTGTATATATTTACCTGTCCACCTTCATCGGTTGGGATAAGTCCAAAGAGCTTGGAGTTCATGTAACCAGTGACCTGAACATATGTCGAGGTCTGCTGAAAGTGAGCAACGGTAATGAAACCAGTAGGGAAAGTCTTGACACCAGGAATAACATTTGACTTTGTGCAGTGTGCGACACCGATGTCTTCATGAGTGGCCACATCAAGCTTGGGACCGGGAGGCAAGAAAAAGCAAAACTGGGTTTCGCTTACGAGCTTGACCAAAGGATGGCTGGTTGAGTTCTTTGCTGGAGTAGTTGTTTTCTTTGCTGCATAGCTGACGGCATCATTGGACAGCCATTCACTGGACTGTGCCAAAGTACTAGGCAATACAATGGATGCTAGTACCAACAGTGCTGACGATGCAATGAACTTCATAACAAACAAAGAAAGATAAAGAGGAAGAGGGATGAAGGAGGATCTGTTTAATGAGAACAGCAAAAACAACAATAGAAAGAAAGAAAAAAGAAAGAAAAAACTTGTTGAATACCAATGCTTTTATATATATATGTCGATTTTTATTGTTATTTTTTTACCCGTTCTATTTTATCGTACAGCGTGTACAACCTTTATGTTAACTCCCGCCATTAAAAGATGTATTTGAGTGGCGGCAAGGATATAAATAGTTTATTTCGAATGCAAGGAGAAGAATCTATATAAATAAATATAACTAGTTTTGCTCTGTGTAGGAAACAGCGTTTTAGATTTCTTTATTCCAAAGGTAGTTGCCTCAATTCTGTCATTTTTCTTTATTCTTTCTTAGTGCAATATAATATCAAACGGTACATTGGGATCCAATAAGCCTTTTCTTGAAATCAAATACAATTTAAAGGGTCATTTGAGTTTTGTCTTTCTTTCGTGGAATTGCTTGGATAAAAAAAATGATAAATATATATATATAGATAAAAGAAAGTTGCTTCCCGAGTGGTTTATTCGGGGAGCTAACAAAAGAATAATTGTCCAAATACAGGCAAAATAAAATCACATTTAAGCTCCTACTTTGGTTTTTTTTTTTTTTTGAAGGCACGTCGATATGGTAACTGATATTTAAAGTAGATGGTACAAGACAGAAACATAGTTTATTTTAAATCAAATAGATCCAAACCATTCGATGTTTTCTGTTAATTTCTACATTTACGAATATGTAAATATATATAAAAAAAGATGGCTGATGATACGTGGCTTAGGATGCAGTTTAACAGTTTTCTTGAATGCTTGGCATCCCATACCATATTATTAGCAAGTTTGAAATAAATTGCCCTCTTGAAAAACGTTATACTGATATGCTTATACATATTAATACAAATTGATTTCTTATATTTATTTAACAAGGCTTTAAATAAACCCAAGAGGAGAATATATTGTACGTGCATGTGTTTCATTATCTGCAGAAAGTATTTTCCGCTCTATATCTCTCTTTTTCTATTTTTTTATTTTTTATTTTTTGTATTAAAAAGACCAGCCATAAAAGGAGAGATTGTTGAATTTACTCTTATCTTTAGAAATATATATTCTCTCACTAGGAAACACAAACGCTATAGGTCTATACTAATGCGTATGTGTATAGAGACAAATACACATTCTGGTTTCTAAGAATATACTATACTATACTATAATATAATATAATAGATTGCACTCTATTTGTATTGATCTGGTATGCCATATGACAATATGAATTCCAGCATTCGACAACCGAATTGTATAATTGAATAAAATTATACTTTTGGTGAAATGGATCTACAACAATTATAAAAGACAAGGCTGGTATCAATTGATAGTAGCTAACACAAACAAACTTGGTAAATGGCACTTTAATTTTAATTTATTTCTGATGGCGTCCTGGACGTCAACTTGGATTATTCCGATTTCTTGCTTTAAAGATTTCTTTCCTCATTCAAACACTTCTGGAAAAATGACATTGAATGCTTAATCCATCCTTCACAATCTTTTTTTTTTTGTTACTTTTCTAGCCGATTCACATATACGATCTGTGGGACGATCATCTGTCGTCAATGGTGTTCTTCTAACACCAGCTTTTACTTTTTACCAAAATTCCTCGATTGGATTCAAGAAAGGAGAATATGGTGGCAAATACAGTGCCGTAGGTTGGTAAAGTGCACACTTTGAATTCCCGACTTTTTTTTTAATAAAAAAATGTCCATCTCTTGTTTTGTTTTCTCTTTCACACCCTTTATTTCTCATTTAATTTTAACCATGTCTTCCAAAAACATTTCTGAAGCTCGTATGCTTGAAAGAGAGATTTTAAGCAAAAAGAACGGCGTAATTATTGGATCTTTTAAATCTGGAGAAAAAGTACCAGTCATCTGTGAAACGCATGGAATATCACGACGAACTGTCTACAATTTAGTCAAGAAATATGATGAAAGAGGGACTGCAGTTACACCAAAGCGAAAGGGACCTTCCAAGATATTTACTGAAAGAGATCTGCATGTTTTGCGTTGCGAGATAGTGAAAGACAGGTCAGCCAATCTGGACACCCTAATTCAGACTATGTCAATCACCTTGCATCGGACTGTTTGCAAGGATACCTTGCGTGATGCTATTAAAAGACTTAATATGAAGTCATATATGGCTGTACACAAGCCTTGGCTTACTGATAAGCATCGAAAGAACCGCATGGCATTTGCTCGCCATGTCCAAAATGTCAACCAGAGCTGGGAACGCGTGGTTCGGAGTGATGAGTCATCATTCATGCTGTTTCCTATGAGCAAAAGTGTGCGAATCTGGCGTCTGGCATCAGAGAAATACAGATATGACTGTATAAGACCGATGATCCAAGGCGGAAAAGGATCAGTAATGATTTGGGGATACATTCGGTCTGGTGGAGTTGACCCCCTAGAAATCGTGCATGGCAGCCAGAATCAATGGAGTTATAAGAACATCCTGGAAAAAAGGCTGGTTCCCTTCAAACGTCGCCTGGAGCAAGCACACAATGATAGATTTATTTTCCAGCAAGATAATGCCCCTTGTCATAGAACAAAAATGATAGAAGAGTATCAAACAGCTGCCAATTTGGAGGTAATGAAGTGGCCTGCGTGCAGTCCCGATCTCAGCTCAATTGAGAATGTGTGGGTATATCTTGGAAAACAGGTGAGGGCTAGAAGACCTCACCCAAAGAACCTTACCCAATCGAAGAGGTTTTTACAAGAGGAATGGAGAAAAATACCAGCGTCTGTGTGTGCGACCCATTGCAACTCAACGCCAAAGAGGCTACATGCTCTCAAGAAGAGTAAAGGATTGTATACAAAATATTAAAACATACTTTTAAAACCAATTTTTATAGAAGAGAAGACTTCAAGCTTTCTTGTGTGGTATTTTGACAGTGTGTTATAAATGTAAAAATGGAAAAACATAGATGGTAGCATTCGTATAAACATTTTCATTTTTTTTAACTTAAATCTGTGCACTTTACCAACCTACGGCACTGTATTATGATGCCTTGTTATCCAAGCTTATTGCCGATCAAGATAATAATGTTGCATTACGATGGCCAAATAAATCAACAGATGAGGAGAAAAGTGATATACGTCCCGATGCAATTGTTTCAACGATCATGCAACACGACTTTGGCCACCCTGTTGGTTTCGGAGAAGTAAAGCCTGGCAACAGTTCTACAACAAAACATTCAGTATCACTCGATGTCTTACGCTTAGGAATCGCTTCAAAAAGGGCAATTGACAAGTGGAAACTGAACTCGTGCTTTGGATTCATGATCAATGGACTTGATCTAACGTTCTTTATTACAAAAAAAAACAACACGAAAATTGCTACACAATGCTGAAAATTGCGCAGTTCACTTATGCTTCGTCCTTATCGAACCTACATTCTTTTGTATAAATGATGAACTTGAACAAGCTGTCAAAAGTCGGACGATGTTTCTGGAATGAATTTCATGCTGCTGATGTTACGCGAGATGATGAAGCTGGTGTTGTCCCAGTATCCGAATTATATGCACTGCTCAGCAGGACTTGCAACCGAACACTTGGTGCCTCGTCTAGATATTGAACTTCAGTTGATTACTACTATTCCTTTTTTTTTTCATCGTTATTGTCATTGACAGTAACGCTTTCTTTAAGTTTTTTATTATATTATTATTTGTCTAGTACATCTATTCAACTCCATCCATTCACACATTTAATAATAATAATGTATTATTTTTGTCATTCAAGCATTTTTTACACAAACCATCCGGTCTTGTAACATCCATACATTTCTATCTGAACACATCTCTTCATCATCACTTTTTCGCCAATATTCATTTATAATATAATACCATGATAATATACACCGATTAAAAAGACCCATATATCACAGTATTACTACAGCAAATAAAGTATATATTCATTGCTCTGATAGAGGACCATAAATAATAATAAAAAAGACTGTTAGTGGATTTAATTCGTAGAAAGTGTAGTATTATGCTTTTCTTTTTTTTTTTCTCTTTCGACCTTGACGATACAGAACCTCAATTGCGCTATTGGTTTTATTATGAGAATTAGAGCGTCTTATATAGGCCGCTTTTCTTAAAAAAAAGTGGTGATTAAACAAGGTTCCTATACGAAAAAGACAGTTTTTCTTCTATGCGTTGTTCTGATCTTTGGTGGTATCGTGGTTATGGTTCACAGGGATGGGATAAACGGTAAGGTGGCAGTATTCCAGATTTTACTCAGTACTGTCAACAATCGTCTCAACGAAAGGTGGCTCTTATTACTCTATTCTCGCTCAGGGATCTCTCAAGATACCCTCTTACAACAAAATAAAGGAAAAGAACTGATTTTATTAAGATGGTCAGTGACCTTAAATCTTATCCTACTTCCTATAGGTGGTACAACAATTTAAGGATTTGTGTAAAACCCACGTCTCTTCCTACGGACAGATTACTGAGGTCCGAACCGGAAAATAGTCTCACTATTCTACAACGTAAATATTCTTTTAATGTCAGCGCAAATTAATTTTTATCTCAACGCAAACTCATATTCAAAAAACAGTAGTGATTAACTTCACTTGCTGAGAAGGATTGATCAAGAGAAAAAATAATTGAACACACACACACTTTCCTTTTCTCTTTCTAATTTTTTTTAGAGCTACTTTATATATTGATATATTGATCTGAAGTTTTTTCTTCTTCACACCTTTTGAGTTTCAAACTATCGTTTCTCTTCTTGCCTTTTTATATCTCTATAATTTTCTACTTTTTTTTTTACACAAGAAGTAAAGCACTCTCACTACATACAAACTACATTTATCCTTAAAGAAAACGACACTACCAAAAAAAAAAGAAAGAAACAATAATCCAATACGTGTAAAAGAGGTCATTTTAAACTGCAAGAATATAATAATATTTAAATAGTAAATAGTAAATAGTATAGTAATTTAATATTAATATTAGCAGTATTTGTATTAGTAGTAATTATATAGTTATTGTAATAATAATAATAATAATAATTTAGAAGAACAAAAAAATATATATAAGAAGGTACTCTTGTTCTTGTATTATATATATATATATATATATTTTCACTTATGGCAGGTAAATTATCCTCTTTTTTTTTTTTTTCTTGATTCTTTGTGCATGCACACACGCACACATGCACACATGCACACATACATAATATATTGTGTGTGTATATACGTCTTGAAATATTTCTCCTAAAACAAAAAACAAATCAAAAAAGAAAAATAGATAATGAGTAACAGTTAACTCCAAGAAGTGTTTATTGACCACACAACAATAACTGTAATACCTGAAGCACAAACAAAATGATATCTTTCATTTCCTAATCAATCTTATTGAATTTGTGCTTGTGTGTATGTGTGTATATATGTGTGTACACATACATATACGTATATATATAAACAACCACAATAATAATATTAACAACAACTATTTAAAATAATATATCAATCTATATACATCACATAAAGATCTCGGCTTTGATTTCCCCGATGAACAGGATGATTACGACATTGACGATGAGACATTTCCGCCCCCATCCCAATCTGTGGATAAGAATCCCACAAATCAACTTTCGTCCGATGCTCCAGCATCTATTTCCAGAACTGACAACTCAACTGTTACGCAACACAAAGAACCAATCGACGAAAAAGAACGAGACAACAAGATGACCAAACCAACTCAAGACAAACACTCAGAGTCATTGCTACAAGCAATGGCCCAAGGTAAGAAAACATTATATACACACATACATATATACATAAAGGGATAAGAAGAAGGACGGTGAAAGGATAATCTTATTAGATGAGGTCCATCCCATCTAAAATCTCACATTATAAAGGCAAAACTCTCATATCTTTTTCTCTCTATTTTTTATCTCTAATCTTTTTCTTCCTATGTATTGTATATATAATATACACTGTATTTGCTTTTATAACTCTCACTTTATTTTTGGCAAGATGGACCAGATGCAAGTCTAGAAGATCGAATGGCGAATGAACCAATGTCGCCTATGGAACGAATATGTATGCTTGAAAAGAGTCATGAAGAGATCCATAGGTAATGCAGGACTAGAGAAGTGGCAGTAGCATTGAATACCATTGGCTAGACTGCTACTGGCTAAGGAACTCGCCGAAACTCTCGACGAGATTACTGTGGAACAGGCTGTTTGCGACGTACTTCCAATGATTCACCGAGTCGGTACCGATCCAGACGAGACTGTACGCGAACAGTTGGCCAGCGAACTCGATAAGATGATCATGTATTACTACAAGGTAAGTTTCTTTCTTACTATCTCTCTTTCTTTCTTTCTTAAAATAAATCATATACACAAACAAATATATGTATATGTATATGTATATGTATATAAACACATATTATTAGTGTATTGCACATCTAATGCATTTTTTTTTTTTTTTTGGTTTTCTAACCTTCACCCCTTCCCCTCAAATCCTCCCTCAAATCCTCTCCTTTTTAATAATAATAATGTATGTACCTTTCGATATTTGTGTTGTAGAACGCACCGCCATTGGCACCGGCGCCAGCACCAGTCAGTAAAATGAAACAATCGCCGGAATCCGAATCCCCTCTCTCACCCAGTCAAGACGTCGAAATGACCACAGTTTCTCTCAATTTCAACCCTCTTGACAACCCCACATCAAACCAACCAAACCCTACTCCAGCTCCAACTACTACTCACACTCCTACCACCACTACCACCACTACCACCACTACCATTACCAAAAAAAAACCTACCCAGCCCGAATTTCATATCCAATCCCAAGTATTTGCACCCCTGTTGATCAATTTCTTGCTTGACCAGAACACTGCCCTTACTAATCTTGGACAACAATGCATAATGTCTGTTGCCAATTTCCTTGTCTCAAAAGACACGGATTTCTATCGATCCCTGCTACAGAGTGATATTATTGATGGTGTGTTGATGGGATTAGTGGCAATTTCTGAAGGAAAATCACATCATGGTCAGGATGACGACGAAAACGATGGCGGCGAAGACGATCACAACAACAACAATAGTAGTGGTGGCAATAATAGTGATAGTATGGATATCGAACACAACCAAGCTAGACGTGCGTCTGCCAACAGACGAGGGAGTGTACCAGGATTTGAAGGGTCTGGATACATGAGCAGCTTCCAGTCCTCGGAAGAACCAGAGGAAGGGGATATGAATATGGCTAAAATGACATGCTTGACTGTAAGTCTATTATCTATTGTCGGTTGTTGTTAGCGGTAGCGGTAGTGGTGTGTGTGTGTGTGTGCTTTTTTAGAGAGAGAAAAAAGAGAAAAGGTAAGAATGTTTGGAGAGGCTGATTTATCATTTGGAATGTATTCTATAGTTGATCAGTGCTATTGCGCATATTTTGGGTCCTGATTTATGTATCAAACACTGTGTGCCAATTGTTGAAAAGCTGGCAAAGGATAACATGTTTTTTGTCCGTAAAGAAGCCGGAGTGACTATTGGAAGTCTTGCTTCTGTTATGAGTCAGCAGGATGTGATTGAACGATTGGTAAATAATACAAAATTTCTATGCTGTTGTTGTTATTGGCATGGATTTTTATGGGTTTCTAACTTTTATTTATATTAATTGTGTTAAAACATGCACGCAGCTTCCAATATATCATAGCTTCTCAAAAGATAATATCTGGCATGTTCGTCAAGCATGTGTTATTTCTCTTCCACCATTATGTGGTGCATTACCAGAGGATCAAAAGGTTCAATTGGCGGTCGAAGGAATCGTATTATTTGAGACTGATACATCCCGCAACGTACGCAGTACTCTGGCAGAGACGGTGGGAGAGTTAATTGCAAAATTCTTACCAAATGACTGGGAGACAACTCGAAGACCTGGAAAGGTAAATTTTTATATATTTATATATTCAAATATTATGATTTTTCTGCCCTTTATTGTAAAAATCAAATGCATAATATAGTTTATCTAATTCTCTCTCTCTCTTTTTTTTACAAACAAAAAAACACACACACACACACCCACACAGGTTCCCGAAGTATTACTGGAATTTTTCTTGTCATTGGCTAATACAGCAACGTCTGGCCAAATGTTTAAGCTGGAAACAGATCGAGCCATTATTTGTGCCTACAACTTCCCCGTGGCAGTATTGACGGCCGGCCACGAATATTGGGATTCTCACCTTAGGGAAACCTATCTAAATCTGACCAAGAACTACCAGATCAAGGTTCGATGCACATTCGCGTATTCTCTTCACGAGATCGCGCGTATCATCGGACCAGAAAACACCGAGCGTGATCTTGTACAGATATTTGCCATGTATCTAATGGATCTGGACGACGTCAAACAAGGTGTATTAGAACACCTGGCTGATTTTTTGGGTACTCTGGCGGTCACTTCTCGTAACGAATACATTCCAATTCTGGCTGAAGTTTGGGATGGTGTGATGACAAATTGGCGTCTGAGAGCTATTCTGACAGCACAATTGAGAGACATTGCCTTGTTGTTTGATGCTTCACGCGTGGTTGAACATATCTTACCGTTGGCCATCAGAGCATGTCATGACGAGTATGCAGCCGTAAGAGAGACAGGCGTACGAGTGGTAAGTGTGTTTTAAATACGCTTGTAAAAAAAAAGCAAATAAGAAAGAGAGAAGACCAAACATGATACGTATTACAATTATTAAGGATATATCTTTACTCTTTTATAGTTTCCTGTGATTCTAGAAGTCGTTAAGCAGGCTGTGGTTGAAGAAAATGAATCAGATACCCAGAGCTTTGATGAAGACGAGGATCTGGCAGGCAATAAAATTGCTTTGTTGAGTCACGTCATGGAGAGATTGGATGAATTTGCAAAGGCAGAAATGTACCGTTCTAGACTTGTGTAAGTAGGATATTGGTCTCTAAAGAATGTAATTCTGATGATATCTTTCTCTCTCTGTTTGTGTGTGTATGTTTAGATTTGCCAATATTTGTAAGATGCTACTCGAAGTTGGCATTTCTGCAGCCGATTTTGGTGCGTTCTTTATTCCTAGATTAGGGCCTCTGGCCTACGACCCTATTGTGAATGTGCGAATTGCAGCAGCAAGGACCATAAGAGTAGCTTACAAAGATGGTAAATATTTGTCACTTTTCTTTTTTTCTATATCATATGAATACATAATATATATATATGTATATATCAAACTTGTTGTAGCTTAAGATTTTATCTAATATGTTTGTTTTGTGTGTGATAGATCGATTTTGTAAAGCCTTGTATGCAATTCATCCATTGGAAGGGATTGATCATGATGAGGTTCCTCCTGGACAGGCTATCGATCACATGCTGTACCGGTTTGCACTGGATAGTGATAAGGATGTACGTTCATTTGCAGAAGACCTAGTGGATCCGATCCAGTTAGAGGAACGTAGATGTGAAATGAAGGCTGCGGAAGAAGTTGCGATTGATGTACCTGTGAGAACCTACGTTTCTGGAGATTATTATGGCAGTAGCTCTGTGGATGGAATTGGAAATGGAGATACAAAAGCTGAGGAACTAAGGGCTAGTACACACATGCAGGAGATTGACAGGACGTCTTCGTCTTCGTCTTCTGTTACAACTGATTCAAGTGGTGTGAATTCGATGGAAGACGAAGAAAGTTCCGCGCACAGACAACATCAAGAAGAAAACACACACATGGAAGAGGATGAGCCAATGGGAGATTTGAACAGACCGACAAAGTCAATTGAGAGTGACGAGACAGATAAAGAGTATGTCTATCTCTCTAAAAGTCCACCTCTTCGTGATAGTTCACCAACTACATCTGTTGTGATTAAAAGATAGTCACTACAAATTATGCCCAAAAAAAATACGACTCCCAAAAAATATTATAATACCATACGCTATTTCCCAGATTTATGCGATACCAAGAAGAGACAGAGATAAAAGAAGTATATTTCTGGTTGAGAGAAAGCAATTGCTCCGTAAATATATTAGTAAAAAGTTTTTATTCTAAAAAAGCAAATAATCATACAGTAATTTGATGCTGTTGTCTTGGGCATCAATTGGTATACCATCAAGACATATTCTTCACAAAGTCTTTCTTTGAGATACGTGTGTACCACCGGGAATCGATCTCCTTATTTGTAAGGTCTATTTTCGCAGATGTGTTTCGAGTGTATATTTTTAAAAGCCTGAAGCCTTGAAAATAGGTCTTCCCAATAAGGCGATCGATTCACGGAACACAGGCAAGTGATTGTTACACCCAAAAATCTCCCGTGTAGGAGACTTCAAAAATAAATCGTACAAATAAGGAAATCGAACCACCGTCGTACAAATGTGCAGGACAAAAATAGCCTGAGTTTTTACCACGGTAAACATTTTACTAAAGAACAGTATCAGCTTTTCAGTATAGAATATAGAATATAGATAGCAGAATTACTATCATAATTAGGCAAAGATAAAACAAAAAGAATGTAATGTTTATAGTACGAGGGAGCTTGTATGAGACTACTGTATTTTTACTAATAATCTACAGACGGACATGAAAGCAAGATACTTTCATTAATACAGTTATGCAATGTTTGAAGAAGTATTACTAATGTCCACAAAGCTTAAATATTCATTGTCAATAAGGTAGAAACCAATGGGGTTTTGGAAGCTCTAATAAAGTACCCCTACGTTGTAGAAGATAAAATGGTTATCAAAAAACAAACTACGCTACTTCTATTTCCATTAAGCAAAGGACGAGAAATATTGAGCTTAACCTGGAAATCCAGTACCAACTTCAGTATACAGCCTCCTACAACGATGGTGGATCAATAAGTCAGGATATCAAAGAATGTAAAGAAATCTGATAGAGAAACAAAAAGATAAGGACAGAAATAATAAATACTAAACAAGAAAACAAATAAATAAGCATTGTGCCATCCCAGGAGACGAAGTGCCGTGTGGGAGTTAGTTCCAAGTCTTCCGGCTTACTGAAAATACAAAATTACAAACCATTAGGACTCCATTATGATAGACTCAACTTTGAGCTGCTGCAAAATAAAACAAATACACCACATAGATTTCTTTTATTCCGTCTATGTTTTTAGACATTTTATTCAATTAAATTTACAGACTTGTATGTAAAAAATATATCAGTTGTCTGTAGATTATTAGTAAAAATACAGTAGTCTCATACAAGCTCCCTCGTACTATAAACATTACATTCTTTTTGTTTTATCTTTGCCTAATTATGATAGTAATTCTGCTATCTATATTCTATATTCTATACTGAAAAGCTGATACTGTTCTTTAGTAAAATGTTTACCGTGGTAAAAATTCAGGCTATTTTTGTCCTGCACATTTGTACGACGGTGGTTCGATTTCCTTATTTGTACGATTTATTTTTGAAGTCTCCTACACGGGAGATTTTTGGGTGTAACAATCACCTGCCTGTGTTCCGTGAATCGATCGCCTTATTGGGAAGACCTATTTTCAAGGCTTCAGGCTTCTAAAAATATACACTCGAAACACATCTGCAAAAATAGACCTTACAAATAAGGAGATCGATTCCCGGTGGTACACACGTATCTCAAAGAAAGACTTTGTGAAGAATATATCGTGAGGTTTGGGTAATGCATAATTTAATGTAGTATCAATATTCATCACTTTAATTTTCTAGGTTCCATTTGTTAAAATCATTCTTTGTATTTTCTACTTAAGTACATGTCAAATTTCGATAGCTCTTAACTTTTTGTTTATTACATAGCCAAGAAAAATATGAAAAAGATTGATGTCTTTCACTCGCTTTTGCGGTCTCCATTTTTCTGTATTATACTATATTCCCAGTGTCCATAGTGTGTTTTGTCTTTGAGATTTGTTTTCTGATATATTTTATTATAGTATTGTGAGCTTCCTGATGAGCAATAATATAAAGACATTTGATGAAATGTGAATCTATTATTTCCTATGATACTCTTTAAGTTTTCAATATAACAGTATTATACTGTGTATACATCTATAAAAATTCTGGATAATCTTTTTTTTTTGGCTACATAACGATATTACATATATGCATGGGGACAGCAATAGACATTTGATTTAAATACAGTGATGAGACTTGATCATGCAATCAAAATAAAAAGCTTAGTACAAGGAATAAAATTCAAAGCTAAAAGTATTTGAAGAATCCAAAATATACTTTGTTAACCAAATTCAGATTTATACTGATAACCGTCTAAGCAATCCAGAGCTGTGAAGACAAATGAACTACCTTGGTATTATACTGCTTCTTAAGTTGCATGTTCTCGTTTGATGCAAACTCTATAGAATTATTCTGATTTTAATTCACAGTCTGCTACTGCGGACGACGCGTTTTTGTCCTACATGCTACTAAATTGTGTTTGAGATTACACTCATCTTTTTCAAGACTTTAAATACTCCAAAAAAATAGACTTGAGAATATAACTCTTTATTGCTTTTCGATTCACACCAGTATTTTTTGCTCTTCGTTATGCTTTCGCCAGAACTCCCCCTAGAAACAATGCTTAGCATCTCATGATTTCTTTCAATGGAAGACAAAGCATCGTGCTCGCTTGTTTGCAAGGCATGGAGGAAACCATTTCAAAAATCTATGTACTCTGACTTTATCGTAAAAGACAATTCATACTTGATCAAATGGTGCAGTAAATTTATGGATCCTGAGTGTACCATCCAAAAAACAGGGCATCTATTGCGATCTTTACACTTAAACTACTGTCCTTATGTAAAATCTGGAGAGATTTACGCTTTACAAAAGACGTTTCAAAATATAAAGTATCTATCTCTCGAAAAAATTTGTCTAAATCCGTCTTATGTTGGTGGCGCAACGAACTGGTCTCTTTGGAAAACATTAACGGATCTCAGGATTAATCTTGGTGGCCGAGCACCGACCCGGGCAGACAATATATTACTAGAAATAGTCTCGAACTTACCTCTTTTGAAACAACTAAAGCTCACTGGGAGATACTATTTTCATGCACAGCCAACATTCACATTGAGCGACTCTGAACTCATTCATGAACGGCTGCTACACCTCAATCACTTGGAACTAAGCTCAGCAGAATTGACTTTTTCCAAAACTGACCTTGAACGTATGACAAAAGTATTACCAGCAAAGAAGATAAAGGCTTTTGGCATAGAGTCCAAAAACATAGACCATCGGTGGCTATGTTATTTTGTTCGTAAATATCCTAGCCTTGAAAGCCTCAGACTTTCAATATCCAATGAAAGAGTAGAGCCTGAGGAACATCGGAACGACATAATATGCCAGCCTAGAGACTTGCCTCATTCGTTTCAGCACCTAAAGAAATTGAGCTTTGGAGACATTAGCTATCATTACAAGGAATACTTGCTTTTCTTGGACATGTTTACTTACTGCAAACTTCCCTTGGAACAATTGTCGATTTGTTCACAGGAAATAATTGATGATTCTAATACTCCTCAAGACCTTCACACTTTTATCAAAGTCATGGAATTATGCTCGACCCAATTCTCTGAAACGCTTAAAGTCTTTACTTTTGAGTACTACGATAAAAATCCAATTTCAATTGACATGATAATAGAAGGAAAGGATGCATTTCGTAACTTGGTTCACCTACACGTACATTGTGCACTCGTAAACTTTAAATTGGATGTCCTTTTTGACACAAAAGTTTGCTTGGAATTTCTTCATCTTTCTTTTACTAATATTTGTATCAATCCAAGTCCATGTTCCGGTTCAAAAAAGCATGTATTACGGTCTTTCAAGGTTTATCGAGCAACAATCACATCTGATGTACTTCGTTATCTCTCATTTCACTGCAGGAAAATGGATACATTGTACTTACATAAAACAAAGATTTCTGGGCCTTTTAATTCGACAACAGGATGCCAATATATTGACATGTCATACACCCGCTTCAAAATATTACACATACACAACACAGAGTTTATTATTTCAAACAACCCAATATCTAAAAACAATCATAATATTACGCTCATAACCCGGCCTGTTAATGACACTCATCCAAAAAGCTATGAAATAACTGAAGACGCCCAGAAAGTTATTGAAGAATTAGCTATAAATATGCACTATCATTGGTTTTACATATTAGATGATATTCCTATAAAGGGACTCTCAAAAAGTCAGTCTAACGCGGCCAAAAGATTCTTTGATGATTTCAAGAACAAGAAAAAGAATGCTATTAAAACAAGCTTTGACGGTGACAGGACAAGGGAACCAAGGCTAAGCTGGAAGATGAGCTGTGCCTATGGGTACACCAAAGTAAAATGTGGCTATGTAAATAACTGTGATATTCATATCAATTGATTTTCGTATTTAGTATTTGACTGTCTAAATAAAATGTATACAAGGTAGACCGGTTGTTTACATTTAAACAGTTCAAGAATCAATAGCCATACTATTCCAAGAAAGAAAAATCCTGTTAGTCTAAGTTTATCTAAATATTCTATTCTTATAAATATTTGATACTAAAGCAAAAACAAAAATAACCTATACAAAAGTTTGAAACCTTGGTTCAAATAAAATAGCAATAATTGCACTTATTGTTTAGTTTCTTTTACTTTATTTCATATGCTGTATACACACCTTCTAACATTTATGATAGCCATTTTTCCCAAGTTGTTTATGTTGTTTTCATACTTTGTAAATTTAGGTATTTACTACCCGTTTGCACTACCCGTTTGTCTAAATTTATGAAATTTTTTCAAATTTTTATAACTATCTTGATAGCCAAAAGTTCTCGTGTAAATTCAATTTAATCTTCACTGGTTATTGTGCATTATTGTGATATGCTGAAAATTAATATGAATATGGTGATGATGCAAAGTGGTCCGGGAACCTAATCAGTATACTGCAAACGTAGTCACCTCCTCGTCACACCAATTTTTTTTTGGATCAAGGTATTTTCTACTGTGGCTATTATAAATGCGAGTCTGATGCTATGTGGGAGATAAACACTTTGAGTCAAGAACAAAATCAAAGCAGAGGCCAAAGATAGAAGAGACGGAACATAGTGAATATGCAAAGTCTTATGATGACTCCAAATTGCAAAAATGGTCAAGCCAACGCCTTGTATACATACATATTAACTTCAGCTCACAAATCATTGCTGCGGATTTTACGCTTTTGTCCTACAAAACATAAAACCTTTTTTGTTTGTTTTTAGATAAAAAAAATATAAAATATTATTTTTGATTATTTTTTCTTCTTTAATATGCTTTTGTCAGAAATCCCTCAAGAAATACTCATCCTTATCTCCCAGTTTCTTTCGTTAAAGGACAAAAACTCATGTTCTTTTGTGTGCAGAGCCTGGAAGACGCCTTTTCAAGAGTCCATGCACCATGTATTGTTCGTAGAAGACAGTCAAAAACTGCGCACCTGGTGTGAAACATTGATAGATCTCGAGAACACCAGACAAGGCACTGGGCGCATTTTACGATCTCTACATTTAGGCCACTGTGTCCATTTAACAAGTGAACAACTTTACACTATACAAAAGACATTCCCGAACATAAAGCATCTTTATTTGCAGAATCTATACATCAATACCTCTTATGTTGGGACCGGGACCAACTGGTTGATTTGGAAGACATTGACCGAATTACGGATTGATTTTTATGGAATATTACGAACAAAGCCAGATAAAGCATTTATAGATACAGTATCCAACCTACCCTTGCTGAGGCGATTAGATTTTGGTGGTGATCCTTGTAATCTTGTAGACCAAACGCTCGCCTTGAGCGACTTTGAACTCCTTCATACACGCTTGATACACCTCAGTCACTTGGAGCTAAGTACCAATTTATTGGTTACTTCCGGCACTGAAGTTCGACGTATGACAGAAGTATTACCAGCAAAGAAAATAAAGATCTTTAGGATGTTATCCAAACAAACAGATCATCGGTGGCTTTACTATTTTGCACGAAAATATCCTAACCTCGAGAAACTCACTTTTTCGACATTCAATGACAAGGTCGAATCCGACAAACAGAAAAACGACATAATAGCCCTACTCAGAAACCTGACTCGTCCGTTCCAACACCTAAAAACACTACACCTTGGAAGCGTCAATTACCCTCACAAAGAATACTTGCTTTTTTGGGACATAATTACATGCTGTAAAGTATCCTTGGAGTGTATACATGTTTACTCGTGTAATGCAGCGAATGATCGAATTTTTTCCAGAGACTTGCGCAATTTACCCAAAGTACTCATTGAGATATGCTCAACTAAATTCTCTGAGACCATTAAAGACTTGTCTTTCATGTGTGATAAACATATGAATATTCCAAAGAGCCTAATAAAACAAAAGGACGTATTCTGCAATTTGGTTCACCTAAAAATAAGATATCCACTCGAACCTTTTAAGCTGGACGATCTTCTTGACAAAAAAATTTTCTTACAATCACTTACTCTTTTTAAGGTAGTTATTGACATTAATCCTGATGCTCTGACTAGCACAAAACGACACGCATTGCGGTTATTTGAGGTCCATTATTCAAATCTGACGTCTGATATACTCCGTTATTTATCAACTCATTGCGGAAACCTAAATTCGTTACATTTGATTAAAACGATTGTAAACGGATCCATTAATTCTACACCAGGGTGCCAGTTTATCGACTTGACCTACACTCGTTTCAAATCATTGCGTTTATTGGGTACATGCTTTATTTTAAAAGACAATCCAAAGTCTGAGCATAATCTCAATATTATGCTTGTTACTCGACCTGTTGAAGACACTCCCCCAAAGAACCTTGACCAAATTGAAGCGTTGCCGATAGTTATCGGAGGTCTAACAGTCAAGGCACATTATCATTGGTTGTACGCAGATGGCTATGGATTCTTAAAGACACTTCCAAAAAATCAACACAGCAAAGCCGAAAAATTCTTTATGCAATTTGAAAAAAATAAAGAAAAGGCTTTAAAGACAATTTTTTACGAGGACAAAACAAGAAAACCAAAGATAAACTGGAAGAAGAACTATGTCTATGGCTACACCAAGATAAAATGTGGCTACATAGCTAATTGTGACATCGATGTATAGTGCATAGAATTGTCTTTACAGAACTATTGCTTAAAATAAAACGTTTATGTGTGTGTGTTTACGTTCGTCTTATTCTCTGTCTCGAGGCGGTATAGCTCTTTTTTAGATTTAAAACAGTTAATTTCTTAATGAATATTTACATACAATTACAAGTATAAATAATCTTACAGGCTAATATTTATCGAAGAAGGCTTCGTGTGTTTCTATTTAAGCATAACACATCAAGAGGTTAGAATTAATTTACAAAAATGCGGTACTATAAACAAAGTCGGTTGACCCAAAATTATAATAAAGATTGAGGTCAAACCATTTGTATGATTTAGTATATACTTCTTTAACAAAATTTATCTGTAGAATAACCAGCATCACGTGTTACAAAAAGAATGAAGTGGAACTGAGCCTCTTTACTTTATTGGTTAGTACACGGTAATTACCAAACCTGTGTATCTTACATATATTTTACATAAATTGGCTTTAATTCCTGAATAGTCGCTTAGGATTGTATATTTCAATCATACGAGGTACTGTTTTTATTATCATTTATATTCTGTCTGTCAATCATTCCTTTTTTTTAACATTTAAAAACCAAAAAACAAACTATGATATATAATAAAAGCCGAGATTACAAAAAAAAACAAGTAACGTGGCTTCAATCTTTCTAATGTATACCGTACATAGCAAGGCCTTGGTTTAATCCCAACGTTACTTGAATTAGTTGGCAATTGGTATAATTTTTACGATTTATTTAAGAACAATTTCAAGTGTTCTTATACAGTAAAATTGTATTAGAAGACCAAGAATAATAATAATATATATATACGCCTATAAATACGATGATATGAAATAAAGTGTCATTTCAGAAAATATAATACAAATTGAGATTCAAGCCATTTAGATAACTTAGTATATAACCCTTTAACCAAATACAACCATAGAATAGCTGGCGCCTTTTCATTCTAAAAAGAAAGTTAAATTGAGCCACTTTACTCTATTAATTAATATTAATGTGTGTATCCAGAGTACGTGTACCTTAAATGTTGTATATATATACTGATTTTGAATTATGAATATCGGCTTCTGACTGTACACCATTGTCATACAAAGTACTAAACCTTTTCCCACATAAGCATAAGCCAGCTTTAAGATCTTTTTAAACTTTACCAAAAAAAAACCAATATATATATATATATATTTATTAAGTTCATCTTTGCACACCTTTATATTTTCCGATATGTTTTTGTCAGAACTTCCGCAAGAAATACTCCTCAATATCTCCCAATATATTTCCTTAAAAGACAGAGACTCCTGTTCGTATGTGTGCAAGGCATGGAAGGCACCATTCCAAGAATCCATGTATTTCGACTTGTTCGTAGACACTATTCAAAACCTAGAAAAATGGTGCAGAACATTGGATGACCCTGGGTACACCAAACAAGACACTGGACGCATTTTACGATCTCTACATCTGGGCTACTGTATCCGTTTAACAAGTGAACAACTTTACACCATACAAAAGACATTTCCGAGCATAAAATCTCTTTATTTGCAAAACCTTTATCTCAAACCGGCTTTTGTTGGAACAAAAACAGATTGGTCACTTTGGAAGTCATTGACTGAACTGCGGATTGATTTCTATGAAACTCACGGAACAGAGCCAGATAATGCATTTATAAACACGGTATCCAACTTACCCCTGTTGAGACGACTAGATCTTGGCGGCAATGCTTTTAATTGTGTGCACCAAACTTTTACCATGAGCGACTTTGAGCTCCTTCATACACGCTTGATACACCTCAAAGACTTGCGCCTCAGCTCCTATTCATTGGATCTTTCTGAATCTGACTTTGAGCTTATGACAGAGGTATTACCAGCCAAGAAGATTACGTTCTTTAGTATCATATCCAATAACACCGATCATCGATGGCTGTACTATCTCGCTCGTAAATATCTTAACCTCGAGATGCTCAAATTCTCATCAGGCAACAAAAACGATGAATCCGAAGAACAGAGAAACGATATAATCTCTCTCCTCAGAAGTTTGGCTCATCCGTTTCAACACCTAGTCGGACTAGACGTCGGGGATCCCAATTATCCTTTCAAAGAATTTCTACTTTTCTGGGAGCTGGTTGTTTTCCTTAAAATACCTTTGAGGCACCTGGGTGTTTACGCATGCGAAGTGTTGAGTGATCGAATGACTTCTGAAGTCTTGCAGGATTTAACCAAAGTCGCCATGAAAATGTGTTCGAGTCGATTTTCTGAAACCATAAACGAATTGACCTTTAGTTGCCAAAAACCGATGGAAATTCCAACTGACCTAATAAAAAGAACGGATGTATTCCGTAACTTGGTCAATTGATACATAGATTATCCACTCGACCCTTTTCAGCTGGATGACCTTCTTGACGAAAAGATATTTTTACAATCACTTTATTTTAGTGGTGCGAATATTGGTACAAATCCTAAGTCATTCTCTATTTCAAAAAGATACAGATTGAGATCAGTCGAAGCTAATGGATCAAAGCTTACATCATATGTACTTCGCTATCTGTCATTTTACTGCAGAAATTTTGATACGGTGAATTTGCGTTTCACAAAATTGTTTGGCTCTATTACCTCAATACGAGGATGTCCGTTCATTGATTTGACATATACTCGATTTCTATCCTTATATATGATGCGCACATTTTTTATTATAAATGACAGCCCAAAATCAGAAGATAGCCCCAATATTACGCTTGTTATTCGACCCGTTTCTGATATTCCTCCAAAAGAAGATGTCAGCATTGCAATTTTTGTGATAGGAGCACAAAAAATGTACATGTAAAATGATATACCTATATTTTTCAAGGACATGATAGCAAAGCAGAAAATGTTGCATGAATATGTGGCTGGACGTGAGGGTGGTTGATTTGAAACAGGTTTAAATGGAGTGACTGGTTCATGCCCATAAGCAACAACTGAATGCGCTATGTCCGATTTGCTCTTATATGCACGCAATCATCTATATACATATTTTAACAAGGAACGTTTTATTGACAGATACTAACCCTGTTACTATGGACCTATTTATTACTTTGATTTTTATTGCTACCCGGATTTTGCAAATTTATCTAACATTCACATGTATAAGCAAAAACAAAACAAAACATTATGTCATGCTCCAGATTAAGATCATTTGTACTTATCTTCATCTACCATATATATATATATATATATATATTAATATATTTATTGAATGACTTGTGTTTCTTACTAATATAGACTTGAAGCTTCTAAAGAGAGCATAGCCCAATCTTCAACGCAGTATATATATATATATATATAAAGCTTGTAGATTACTTTGATAGTAGAGATAGAGAGAGAGGGAGGATAGATGACCTTGGTGTTCTTATCTGCTTGCCTTTTTTTTATATTACTATATATATCGCTTGTCAACAAAAATAGTCTATGCTTACATATTCTATTTAGATAATGTTGAGAGCATAATGACTATACATATATATATATATATAGGTGTGTATGTATTATTTAATGCAGTTGGAATAATAAGCATATGAAAGACAGAAAGAAAAGAGTGTTTAAGAGATGTTTTAGAATCATAAATTTAAATTTACTTAATAATTATACTTGAGTTGTGCTGAGCTGTACTTTGCTTTATACGACCTGGAAACCAAATCTTTATGTCTCTTTGCCCATAGTACTCAATAATTTACTTAATGCGTTGCCTTCTTTTTAGTTTGATCTTTTTCCTTTCTTTACAAAGTAACCTTTTAACATCTGCTATGTAATTAATATACCATTCTTTCAATTCAAGAACCATATACACAGACTACACACTGTTAGAATACTATAGCTACTTTACCCCTCCCTATTTCACTTAAAAATGGAGACACAGAAATGAACAGAAAGAGTGATAGAGATGTTATATTTTGAACAAAAATAAAAAATAAAAAATATACAAGTAAATGTATACAGATATTATATACTTTTTGATGGTGTAAATAGAAAGAAAAGTTGCGTTTTTTTTTCTGCGTATATGTGTGCTTGTTTGTGAGATTTAACGCGTCTATAAAAGAAAAGAAAAAGAAAAGAAAAACCGCCAAAATAGGAGATTTTTTTTTCTGTTATTTTTTTTTCGGTTTAACGGTGATTGTCTTTAGAAGCGGTCACGGGAGTAACTGGGGTTGTAAGAAGATCAAAACAAGATTGTATAAATTAGTACAATTATCATTTTCATTATCATTAAATGTACAAGCCTATACTTATAATATATAACATAGAGGAAACTTACGTCTTCTCAAACTTCTGGTTGACAGTCATCAACTTGACCTGAGTGTCCTGGTCAATGTTTTGCCAGCTATGTGTGTGTGTATCAAGTGAGATTGATAGATAGATAAACGAGAGAGATTGTGTAATATAATATAGCAAATAAAAGAAAGTTAAGATTTGATCAGATTACAGAATGACACAATTAAACACAAGCACACTCAAAGATAGCCCACCCCTCCCCCTTTATTTTTCAACCCTAGTTAAAAATCAACCCAGAATAATAACAGTAATAATCTTAACGAGATTTATAATTTCTGGTATAGATCCTAAAAGTCTTATACTTACGGGTAGGGGTTGCTCTTGCGATCCCAGACAACTTCAGGGCCACTATTGTTAATGTACAATACAAAACATTAGAACACACATCGACATGTATATCAATTGTTTATTTACCGAGCAAGACGGGTGAGGTACCAGCCAGCAAGACCACAGGCACCACCAACAGTGATGTAGATGGGGATAATCTCGGTCTTGTACCAGATGTTCCAGAAGCTCTTCTTGGCAGCGTGGGCAGCAGTCATTTTTTTTTGTTTAGGGTAAAATAAAGAAAGAGAAAGGATGAAAGATGAGGATAAATTTGAGGTATATAAAGGATTTTTAATTTTTTTATTTATTTTTTATATATAGATTGTTACTATTTGCTATTTGCCAGCGGCCACCCAAGTATCCACGTTCCGTCCGATAACCGTGTAACGATTGTGTTTTTTTATGGAGAACAAAAATGGGGGGAGGAGAGAAGGAGAGGGACCTATCTTTTTAGATTATTACCGAAAATCATATATATTGTGATGTATTCAATTAGTTTTACAGCGTAACTCATTTACTAATAGCTATTACCATTTTGCACTTTTGCACATGAAAATATTATATATATATTTAGATCTTTGTAAGCTTTGGCTCTATCTTTTCTCAAGTTTCTTATAAACTATACTTTCACTTTTACTTACATTTCAATTTTATTTTTTATTTGTTGCCATGTAAAACCAGTGGTATCAAGCACCATGGACCATTAGTATTTCTGCTTATTTTTTCTTGTTCAAAGTTGCTAGGCAGGTATGACATATATCGGGTGAGCTGGTTTACAAACACTTTTTTCCTTGTTCTACTGCAAAGTCCAGTCTAAAAGATCCATGTTTCGCAAAACTAAGAGAAAGGCACATCGAATTTTCATCTTGAGTTTATTTGATGATATCTACACTGCAATTTAATGAACTAAAGGATTCTGTAGGATAACTTGAGTTATCAGCATAATCTATACCATCAAAATCAACCACAATTTTTAACAAATCAGAACTTTGTACTTATTTTTTAAAAAAAAATTAAAGATTAAGTGTAAAAGAATTATTTTACCATATTTTGGTACAATATGGGATTGCCTGCCAGATTTCGTCTCTTCCATTACCAATATCAAAGAGTTTTGCTGAGAACTTTGTTCGCCAAAGATCCAAGCTAACTCGAGTATCAAGTCTTTGGGTAAATCCCGCGAATTGTTTTATATGATCACAAAAAGATGCCCTACGAAGGCAATGTTCAACAAATCTGTGACCAGGCTCCTTGTTTTTTTTTTACAACAAAAAAGATTTGACAAAAGTCACCGTACATATATATTGATGTTCTACTTCTTTTGCATCAAGAACACTTTTAATATCTTTAAAAGATTGTCCAATTCACTTGAAGTCATTTTAGCTACAAATAACATCCTTGTCCCAAAAGAAAAAGTGATGTTTGTTCAACTAAATGTGCTGGTGACGGTCAAAGTGAAATGCTGAAAGTAGAATTTATATCAATTTTCAAGACTTTTAAGAGAAGATTATTTCGTGTTTTTTTTAGGGACAGTAATAACAGCAGCAAAAAAAAAAGTTCTTTGTGGGGGTTTCACTGCTATACACGTTTAGCTTCTTTACGAGCTGGTTATATGCTTTTTGTTTATTCTGCATTAAAAAATTATCATTACTGCATCCAATTTTGTTTGATCTTCTTCTGTATCGTAGATTCTAGATCCAGCTTGTTTCCTTGAGTTTGCAGAATTTGAAGAGTTTATAATGTCGTGCTAAATACCTGTATCTTGTTCCTTGAAAATGTGGTTTCATATCTCCAAGAGAGCTTTGAACGAATGATTTACGTTTTGCTTGGTGAGGAACAACAGCAATCAGTCAATGGTACAAAAAATGTGCCGAAAATGAGTAAAACAAATATTTGGAAATTAAAACACTGATTCAAGACTATTGGCGCTAAATTCAAAAATCACACGAAAAATCACGTTTCCTATTGGTTTAAATTAGTCTATTTTGCAAAAAAAAGGGGCTGAGTTATAAGAGACCGTCTGGAGTTAACAAGGTTTATTAACGGGCTACGAAATACCCAAATCTTCGGCTCACATGCTGTTTATACAAGATATAAAATGAATGTCTGAAAAATATAAAATTATAAGACACCCGAGATTTTTTTATCTTATTTTTATTTTTATTTAATTTTCTATTTATTTAATTTTTCAAAACAGGACCGAAACCCAAGGAAACGGGATATATGTAAAGACTTGATCTCTTCTAATTTTTTTTTGTGTTTTGTTTTATATATATTTTTTATATATGGCTGTGGTGATGTCACGATATAGGCCCCGCTTCGGAGGTCTCGCTACCCCCCCCCTCCATGTAAGTTTTTTTTTTTTTGAGTATAGAAAAAGAAAGAAAAAAGAACTCCTACCTCCCCCCTCTGTTTTCTTGGATATCTTCTACTTGGAAGTCATATAAACTTTTGCAGTCATGGGTGCGCAACAATCCAAGTCAGAGCCGGTTATCTTTTACAACCAAAACGTACCTCTCCAGGTACGAAGCACGTGATGCCACGAACTTAATGCGTAACAGCATCAGACATTTTCTTCTTCTTCTTTTATTACAACATTTTACAACTTCTTTATTCAATATAAGAAAGAAGAAAAAACAAGCAAATAATACTTTAATTACTTCTTTATATATTCTTTTTCTTATCATTTCTTTTTGACTAACAATCAACAAACAAACGAATGTGATAATGATGATAATGGCAATAATAATAATAAAAATTATAATAAAAATTATAACAGTTCTCTCAGGGACTTGTGGATTCGCTCGAGACTCGCACAAAGGTTAGAGTAAGAACGAAAGGAACCAACACGGTCTTTCCTTTATTTTCATTTTTCCTGCTTCAAACCAAAGAAAGAGAGAACGAGAGAGAAAGAAATAGATAATGATATATCCATAGATATACATACATACATACATACATATAGAGATATAAAGGGAGAGAAGACAATGTAGAACATAAAAAAAAGTTGACATGCATGTATACATATATACATATGTTGTTATTTTTTTTAGAGCGCGCCCGCTGCTTCATCGCAGCAAGTTCGCCCCGAGGAAGTTGAGGAACGTGTCCGTGAACGTGTTGCGGAAGAGTTGAAGCGTGTTCAGGAGAAGCAGGAAGAGATCAACCAGCGTGTTTACAGTGACATGGCTAAGAAGAACATTGATAATGACCAAAACTCTGTTGTTTTGGGTGCTGACATTAACAACATGATTGAGAAGATCAAGAGGTAAAAAAAACACAGATTCATGTTTAAGACAGTAAAAAGTGTATAAAGTTGTAAAACGTTACTAAATATGTTATTGCTGGTAATCTTTTCTTTTGTATAGAACTCCTGCCAAGGCTATTCCTGCCGAGATTGCAGAACGCCAGGAAGCTCTTGTTGTTTGCTACAAGTACGTTTACATACACATATATACGCAATTAAAATGAAGGAGAAAAAGGAAATATTATAGATGAGAGATGAGAGTTTAGAAATCAGACATTAGAGATGAGATATTTGAGATATGAGATTAGATGAGATAAGATGATGGAATTGGTAAAATAGATTATTGACATCGTTTTTTCTTTTTGTTTCTTTCTATTGATATAACAGGAACAACGAATCTCGTCCATTGGATTGCTGGAAAGAAGTCGAGGCATTCAAGGCCTCTGTTGCAAAAGCCCAAAAGACATTTGTTGCTGCCTACCAATAAACAAATAACCTTTTTTTTAAATTATTATTATTATTTCCCAGTTTGGATATGGCCTCTTATGTTTCATTTTTAATCTTTGGAACTAAATAAATATTTACATATCATCTTTATACTGAGTGGGTACAAGAAGTACAAAGATAATAGTGAAGAGTAATAGAGAATAAAAGCAAACCGATTAAATAGATATATTGAGGCAGTGGTGGTGATAATGTAATTATATATACATGTGTGTGTATGTAGAGAGGAATAGAGAAAGAGAGAAATGGTACAATATATTAAATACTGCTGTTAATTATTGCATGTAAAATTGTACAATTGTTAATTAGATGCATTCTGCATAATTCCTTATTTCGATACACACACATACACACACACACAAGTACTGAGCATAAAAATAATAAGCTCACTGCTAAAGTTTGTGTGTGTGTGTGCATCCTTAAGCATACAAGCTGTCACATTTACTCAAGCCACCCATAATTTTTAAAGCAGAGTTTCATTTTTTTTCATTTGAAAAAAAAAAAAGAGGAATCATATATATAAAACGCCTTTTGTCAACCTTGTCAATCAACCTCAAAGATGGCAACGACAACCCTTCAACTCTATTGGGATCTGGCCTCGTTTGACCCTACCGTTAGACAGACTGCTGCCCAGTCATTGATCCTTGCCCTGACCGAATTTCAACAGGCCCACCAGAAATCCCTCGACGATTCAACCTCAACTCCAACAACCTCATTAGCTGACACCGAAGAAAAACTTGACCTTGTCTGTGCCTCTGATGTATCATACGCTGTTAGACGTCTCTTGAGAGGTTTGCCTTCCTCTCGTCAGGGTGCCCGTCAAGGTTTCTCTCTTGCTTTGACCGAGGTAAGAAAGCAAACCCAAAAAGAAAATATATACAATTTGCATTCAATCCATTCGACTTTCCTGTATACCCCCTTTTTTTTTTACCATTGACTTTATGTACAAATATATATATATATTTAAAAAAATAAAAAAGAAGTGAAGAACAATAACACTCATTCCGCTCACTTATGTATATATAGTTGCTCTCAACCATCGATTTAGTAACAGCTAAGGTTGTTCTCGACCTTCTTTTCCGATACACCGAGCGTGTTGGATCCATGTCGGGTGAAGAAGTCCGTGATATGCTTTTCGGTCGTTTGTTTGGTCTTATGTCTATCGTTGCTTCAGGAATGGTAGCTCGTGAGTCAACCACCGCTGAGGATGCTAACCGAATTATTGAAAGTCTGGCCGAAATGGCCAAGACAAAATCTTATCTCTCGGAAGTTTGTCACCACGTTGTTATCAATATGCTACCCTATGTAAGTTTATTGCTATTTCTTCTTTTTTTTGTATTTGTGTTTAAATTTGTGTCTGTACCTGTGGATATTGGTTTTGATTTATTTGCTTGTACTGGTTTGGATAAAATGGGCTTCAAACTCCTGGATGTCGTTATTTCTTTTTACTGATGCTATGTGGGTTGAATTATTCAATTAGCTTAAGACTGTCGATTACAAGGACTCTGCTGTCGAAAAGATTCTCGAACTATTTTTGAACGGTAGCGTTTCTACTGTCGATCAGCTCAATCTCGCATTGGCCATCCAAAAGCAATTGCCCGAGACTGATCTGACTGCTCAATTTGCTGGCTGGAAAAATACCAACGTTCTTGACCCTGCCAACCTCCGTCACTTGGCTCTGCTTGTTAAGGTACAGCCGAGACGATTTAGAAATAATATACAAAAGTAGAATTATAATGGCTATAAAGACAATAGAGAAAAAAAAGGGAAAGAAAGAGAAAAAGATGAAAAAATATTGGTTTATATCTGAAACTGATAATTTATGTAATTTAATTTGTATTTCTGTGTGTACATAGGAGGTACCAATTGAAGACCAAGACGCTCAGGCTGACTGGAAACCCCAGCTTCATTCTGTTTGGGATCGTCTTTTGAGTGTTTACCTTGATGGTCCTTCCGATGCCGAGGCTGAGGAGGCCAAGCGCCCCAAGAAAAAGCAGAAGACTGCCAAGGTTGAGCAAAAGACTGCTTCTTTCCAAGAATTCTGGAATGTTGTTGTTGATGGTAAAGAAAATAAAGAACAAAAAAGAAAAGCTAGAGAGAATATGGTCAATAGAACACAATACAATGCAATGTAATGCAATGTAGTACAATGCAGCGTAATGCACTGTAGTGTTCTGTCTAGTATTCTAAACATTATTACGTTTATAACACTGAAAATGATTACTGGGATCTAATCAAAATCTGGGGAAAAATATACACAAAAATACTAATTCCTTGATAATTAATAGAAACCATGTTCGCCAACACTTCTTCTCACGGTCGTAAGTTCTGGGGTTTCCAGCTTGTCGAAAAGGTTTTACCTCGTCTTGCTCCTGAGCAGATGCCCTTGATCTTCACCGAGAACTTTATGAGAACATTTATCAACAATCTTTCTTCTGATGTTCGTTTCTTGAACAAGGCTGCCAAGCACACTGTAAGTAATTCCTACTTACATACATACATAGTTGGATTTATCTTTTCGTGATTTGAGTTTATTGATGCTGTTATGCTGACAATATTGTACTTTTTTTAGGCTACTGTTCTTCAAACTGTTGCACAGGACAACAAGCAGGTCGGTTTTGCATTGGTCACACAGCTTATCGGTAAGCACGGCCACCAGAACTTTGACAACATTACCAAGACCAAGCTTGTTGAAAACTTATTGGCAACAATGGATACTGCTGGTGTTAAGTCTTATCTTGAGTTCCTTGCCGAGACCTTTGTCAAGCAGGATGAGATGAAGAGGTAAAGCAGAGAGAAAGAAAGAAATAGGATAAAATATGAAGTGTGACGCAGTGTATTAATTCCTAATGCGTTACATTGTATTGTGTTTTAGTGATGATGATTCTAAGCGTCTCAACTCTCGCAGAGAATGGGCTCTTACCCAGATGACTCTTATGCTCACAAACACAAAGGTCCCCAAGGATGAGTCCTGGATCGTTTACCTTGTTCGTTTCCTTATGGTCCACTCATTCTTCGAAGTCAAGATCACAAAGGAGAGAAAATCATTCCTCGAGGTAAAAAAAAACTGTTACTACAACAACAACAATTAGAGAATATCGCTTCTCAAGAATCTTTAGATAAAATTATTTATATATCTATTATGTTTATGATTGTGATTATTATAGGGTCTCCACAAGCCTTCTCCTGCTCTTTCGGATTCCACCCGTGAATTCTGCAAAGCACGCTTCCAGGCTGCCCTTGTTGCTTTGGCCAAGCTGCCCCAAATCCAGAAAGTCAAGGATCTTTCTGGTGCTGCAGTGAAGTCTCGCAGACTCATTGGTATTACCAACGACGGAGAACTCTGGGTTCACCGTGTCTACCAGATTAAGCAAGAACTCGAAAAAGACACCAAGCAACTCAAGTCTCTTGTGACCTTGTCCAAGGAGGGCATTGCTATCAACAAGGAAGTCACTGATGTCGTCGAAAAACTGAGATCAAAGGTAAGCATAAAAAAATAAGAAAGAAAGAAATATATGAATTGGAGAATTAAGTTTTTATTAATTATTATTGCCGTAAAAGATTGCCAAGGATGATATGAAATCTTTTGATAGCATTGAGCGTGGTTTTGAGATTTTGTTCTTAAACCTTCAGTTGCACTTTTTGGTGGACGAAGAAGAAGCCCAGTCTGTTTTGGGTGAATTGTTAGACTGCTACGAAAAGATCTTTGCCAAGAAGGCTGTCAAGCCTACCAAGGCCAAGAAATCCAAAAAGGCAGCAGCAGCAGAAGAAGAAGAGGGTCAGCCTGAGCCAATCGAAGTCATTGTTGATATTCTTGTCGGTTTCTTGACTAACCCCTCCCATGTCTTGAAGAATCTTGCCGATCAAATCTTCGAGATCTTTTCTCCAATGATGACCAAGCAGGCACTCCAGACTCTTTTGAATGTATGTTACACATCTTTTATGCATACCCGTCAAATACTTATATATATACAATATATATCAATTTCCTTTAGATCTTGGCTACTAGTGAGAGCAAGACTGGTGCTGAGGAACTCTTTGGTGACAATGAAGACGAAGAAGACGATGATGTCGAAGAAATGGATATGGACAGTGATGTCGAAATGATCGAAGAGGACGACGATGAAGAGATGGATGAGGATCTCAAGCGCAAGGTTGAAGAGGCCATGAAGGCACAGGGTATTCTCGGTACAGAAGATGACGATGAAGCTGATTTGGATGATGAGGCTATGGCCGCATATGACGAAAAGATTGCCGAAGTCTTTAAGCAGAAGAAGATTGCCAAGACCGAGCAAAAAGGTAAAAAAAAAAACCCCCCATAAAAACCAAAAAAAAAATGTTGTGCATTTACTTATGATATATTTGTTCACTAGATCTCCAGCACAACATTACTCACTTTAAGAACAATGTTATGAGCTTTATCACCATCTACGTCCACAAAAACCCTACCAACCCTCTTGTACTTGAGATTATCGTCCCTCTCCTGAACATTATCCGCTCCACCCCCGGCAAGTCTGTCACAAGCCAATTTGTGGACAAGATGGTCGCATTCCTGAAGAACAAGTTCTCCAAGATGACCGAATGTCCTACCAACTATGACGAGGAAACAATCTTCAATGTTCTCCAGGCCGTTCACGACTTTGCTCGCCAGGCATCATCAAAAGAACTTTCCGAAACCGCCAATAATCTTTCTCTTTATTTGCGCCGCTGCATTTTGGGCGGTGCTGATGTTGAGGTCGCAGACAAGGATAAGAAGAAGAAGAAGGAACAGACTCGCTTCCTTGCGATCTACAGCGACTCGTTGAAGGAGTACATGACCAAAAAGTCATCACATTTCCACCCCAGCATGATCACAAACCTTTTGCAGCGCTTCCCTCTTAGTTCCTGGCCTCTTTTGGACACTCTTATCGTTTATATCAGCCCGAGTGAGAGTGCAAACGCTTACCGCCAAAACATGGCCTGTCAATGGGTCATGCAGCTTCTGCAACGTATAGTTGGCAAGAAACACGAGAGCGCCAATGCAAAGTTTGTTAAACTTGCACCCGAGTTGATCAACAAAATCAAGGAGGCCCAGGCAGCATTAAAAGAAGGCAGCAACAGTGATGTGAAGCGTACACTGGTCAAGCTTGATACTTTAGTCACCCGTCTTTCTACAAAATTGTCAACTGAAAATTAAATACACTTCACATACGCAACACGCTCAAGCACACGCATGCACACACACTCACTTACTCACTCACTCACAAATACACACTCACATTTTTGATATATTAAAAAAAAAGAAGTAAAAAGTAAAATAAATCATAAAAAAGAAATATTTTTATTAAAAAAGATATTTGAAACAAATGAATTCGTACCTTTTGTTTCTTCTTCTTCTTCTTCTTCTTCTTCTTGCTTTATTAAAATAATAACCATCACAATAATAACCATAGTAATAATACTTTTTTTTTTGAATTTTAAGAAGAGCATCCAGACTATCAAAGTGCATTTTTATTTTCATAAAAATAAATAAATAATATATACATGTGCGCATATAGGTATATAACCCAGTGTTCCTTTATTTATATGGCTGTCCTGGCCATGCAGGTCCATTAGATCCATCAAATTCACCATAAAACCGATTGGAATCAACTACTTTATGATTAAGTCCACCAATAGTCTCTCCGCACTGTGGACAAGTAGACACTTCAGTAGCACCACCACAATCACCTATAAATTTAATGCATAACATATGTATAAAACAGTAAGCATAATTGAATAATAGCAATGAATTTTTTCTTTTTTTTTAAAAAAATACAAAAATTGTACAAACCTATAAAATAAGGATGCTGATTTTTGCAGACGAACCATCTTCCGCCGACAATATTGTGAATACCAGTCCTAGTTTCATCGTTCATGGCTTTAATGATATCTTGCTTTTCATTTTCCGAAATTCTATGAAGTTTTTCATTCTGACTCTCCTTGATCTTGTTCACTAACGCAATTTCTGTTTTTATGTACATGTTGTAACGCAAAGCAGTATATATAGGTGTCTGACACAAAGGACATTGCCAGAGTTTGATAGAATTATGTTCACCTATTCATACACCAACACCAACACAAAAAAAGGACCTTTAGCGTATATACACATATAGCAAACTATCTGCAAACTTCATTGTATGTATGTATATGTATATAGTGTTTGGATATATACCATTTTGTGCCTGGTTATTGAAATACATATCAAGGTATTCAACAGAAAAAACTATATACACAAACGAACATACATATACAAGGGTTAAGAATAATATAATATATTTTTTTTGCCACGTCTCAAAATATCCAGGCTATTTCTATACGTCTACTAATTTTAAAGCAGCTTTTGTAACTCTGGTAATATCATTGACACTTACTGCATTTGCATTCAGGCAAGACATATATCTTTTCATCTGGATCAAATTCTGATAAGGTTCGGAGTGAGATTGCACATTGCATATCAGAATTGCACTCTCTACAAGGAGGACACAGTTCACCACACAGTCCAGGACATGGGTGACTATTGACAGACAAACAGAGAATATATAAGTATGTGTGGCTATTCTATTCAAAGACACCATATAATAATAAGAATATACTTACGAGCATGGAAGAATCTTAGAACAGCTTAAATCGCAGGGCGGCCGATCGCATTTCTAAATTGATCAATACACACAAAGTCATGGTTAATATCTATGTATGTTTTGTTTTAAAGAAATAATAATAGTTGAATTATAATCCCTTCAATTTATATTCATATTTATATACCTCATGGCAGCGCCTAGTACACTTTTTGTGAATACACTACAAATTTGGTATGTTTCGTATCAATCAAATATCTGTATTACAAGTAAAACATTCATTGCTTGGTATATAGGCACAAACGTTTCTACAGAACTTACACTATATGGGCAGTTTTCAACACAAGGTGTACAAACTCTCCAGCAATCTCTTCCACACTTATAGCCATGAGAGCATACTTGCTGACAAGCTTCCAAGCACATTTCAGTGTGATCGTTAGGCTTAGCACAGCCTAGTGTTTTGTTCAAGAGCAATACATATACAAGAAAATCAATTACGGAGTGAACCAAATGAATTGTTGCTTTTTTTTTACACCAGCAAATAGACTAACCGTTAGAACAATTGTGCCCACAAATAAGCTGCTTTGGACAGCTTGCCTGGCATTGAGATGAATCATGTGAATGAGGAACTCTACACTGTTTATATATATACACAATTTATATGCATATATGAATAGAAAAAAAGAATGTCGTGAGCTTCTTTGTAGATCAAGATTTTATACTGTTTATTTAATTTGAATTTATTTTCTCTTTTACAATCACGTACCATATTTTGGCACATATGCCCACACTCGAGTTGAGAGTTGCAACTCTCAGTGCAAAACAATTGAAAATCTTCATTCTGTATACCGGGATTCTCTACCGCCAAAGACATAGCTTCTGCTATATAGCCTACATTCCCTGGTTCTTTGAGCTGGGCTTGTTTGCAATTGATTGATCTTTGGTGCCCACACGGAAACTTCACCACTTCTACTTCTGTACACGGAGGGCACACTCCGTTATTATTTGAGCATTCGTTGCAGCTATTGGGACAAGCGTGTTCACACCCATCCGGCCGTGGTCTTACGCAAGGTTCAACACAAGTAGCATATGAATGATCTAATATATGACACATCTAATGTATATATATATATACATCCAAGCAAACCAACAAACATGTGTGTTGAGATATTAAGCAATAAACGAAAATCAAATTCAATCTAGTATTTCTTACATTTTTGCAAACATGCCCACACTCCATAAGTGTTTCACAAGCCATCTAATTGTCAAAGTCTTTAGTATACTATAGCATATATCCTCCACAAGTCACTTGCTATTTACATCATTTTTTAGTACTTACGGTACACCCGCCATTTCTCACTTGATTAAATACAGGCCAATAACTGATAACAGTTGTTCTTTCCTTGTGTTTTTGGCAGCGTAGCTGAAGATTAGGCGAGCAGTTTCCTATCCAAAACGCCAATTTAATATAAAATCAATTAAGGAGCCAATACGGTATAAATACGCACACACACACATATATATATAATATCTTAACCATTTATTATTAAAGTATATAGCTGATAGGAAATAAAAAGAAAGAACGCTTTTTTGTACCTTTTGTTCTCATATACTTGGCAACAAGCTCCCATTTTGTTCCTACTGTTGCAGCTGCATCTCCAACAATGTAAAGTCCATACCGGGCTCGAGAGAGAGCTAGAGAGACGTTGTTATCCGGAAGGGGTTTTCCATGGGGCACAGCCAGAGAAATGATAACAATCCAGTTCTCTTTTCCAACATGGTCGTCTATCATACTTACGGTCACACCAATTGGTTTTTTGACAAACTGACTAAAGTCCAAAAGTTCATTTTCAAGTAGCCATTCGATAATCCTCTTCTGTAGTGGGTCAATGGCCAATATGGCAACATTTTCTGGCTTGGTGCCCTGCTGTAGTATGTAGAGTGCCAAATGGCACACATATCTTGCCCCGTCGGCCATGCTTTCGGTAACATCAATCCCCATAGCTGCAGTGAGACTATCATCAAAGAATTGGGAGGTCACCTCGCTGTCATGAGAAACAAAAAATGTGCGGTTGTCGAATCCAAGTAAGGCAGGTACCACTTTGTCTCTTGTATTTGCAGTTGTTTCTGAATGTTCAGGACCAAAGGCAGCCTTGTCATTGTCGGGGTCTAACGCATTAAACACCTCTAATACTTCTGTACACATTCTCCACTGTTCTTGCAGAGCGACAACTTTGCCCCCGGTGAGGTACCATCGTTCGAATAGAGACACATCGAGGTGCTGGGAGGTTTTGTTAACAGAACCGTTTGTTTGTTTTTGCTTTTGGGCCTTGAGCTTCGTGTCGTCGCCTAAAAGAATCAGGTGGTTCATGCGAGGTCCGAATAAAAAGTGAGCCATGGTAGACTCCAGTATCTGATCAGCTTCGTCGACAATCACGACACTCGGAGACAGAGAATTGATAAGTTCTTGGTTGGATGCCGCGAACTCGGCCGTCATTCCTATCAGACGGTTGAATTGGCAAACCTTTGCCCATTTTTGAAGTCTAGCCTTGTCTAACCCCCTTGAAGCCTTGAATTGTTCCTCAAGACACTTTGTAATCTCTGAATCGATAAAGTGAACAATCTTGTTAATCAGTTTCAACCATAGCTCCTTGCGTTGGCTAGCCAAAAGCTTCCACATGTTTTCTGGGGGTGTGACGGACCATATGGCAAGCACTTCATTTCGGATCACGCTCACGTTCTGGGAGCCAGAGAGAGGCCAGTTGGAAGGGTTGGCAATACTATTGATATTTGGCCTCTTTTGCACAATCCATTCCAAGCGATCTTTGTATGTAACCGAGTCTATTATCAGAGGAAGTCTGTCTTCTTCGCCACTTCCCATTGATTTGAGGAAGGAATCGTATTCTGCTTCAATATTGCTAAATGGTGTTTCATGCGAATATTCTTTTTGGCAATCCGAGGACTTATCGAGTATGGGAACATCGGTATTTCTCATCCAGGTCTTCAAGATTGATGAACTAGTCTGTATACCGTTGCCACCACCACCACCACCATTACTTCCACCTTCACCAATAGTGGTGCCCGAAAACGGACAGCCTTGGCGCAAGCTATGCATGTATCCTGGTGGCACAAATGTTGAAATTATATCAAGATCGCCTTTGAGAACACTGGATCGATACTTCCACAGACTATCTAGGTCAGCTTGTAACATTGCCTGGCGTCTTTCCATCTGGACTACATAGCGCTGGTTCTGATCATTATTTTCAGACCCAAACAAATGAAGGCCCTGTCGACTAGCGATGTTCTTGTTGTCTGTGCGAACTCCCAAACGAACCATCCCGGACACACCGTTCAGGTTCTTTTCTAGAATTGCGTCCAAAGTTGACTCATTCTTTGTGATAACAATAACGGGATGGAAGGTACGACTTTCTACTAAGCCTTGGTGCACAAGGTTGACTAGTTTACTTGCCAGATGGGTCTTTCCTGTTCCTGGTCCACCGCTAATTACTGTAAAACGATGAAAAAGTGCATACTTTAGCGCACTAAGCTGACTCTTGGAAAGAGTGTAAAGGAAAGGTCGCTCGGACACGGGTAGCCAAAGATGTTTATGTTGGAGTTGTGGCCAAACATTCTTCTCCATATATGCCTTGTTACCAGAGAGCGAGTCTTGAATGATACAAGAAATATCGAGATCAACCTTTTGAAGATAGGTCGGTGTATCACTCGTGTCTTCTTCTCTTGGATTGGATTTGCCGTAGTTGTCAGCAAAGGAATCACGATTCTTTGATAACGAGTCTTCGCCATGTTGTTGCGAATTTAAACCGACTGACAAGAGTCGACTGGATATCTCGGTCTGCTTCATTTCTCCCTCGCACTGGCTCACCTCTTTACGAAGCCAGGAAAGGACCGGTATAATCGAGGAACTGTTGGGTGAAGTGATCAGGATTGTATACTTTGCAGAACGTTGCAAATCCATCATACTTCCAATCTTGAGATGAATTGCAATCATATGTACTGCACCTGGTTCGTTGTTTGCACGTGCGTTATAAGTAGAACCAACGATAATTCCGGTAATGATTTGTTTGGAAATAGATGCAAGGTGCTTTTGTGTGAGCCTTTTCTTGCTAGTTTGGGGTATGAGGATAGCGAGTGACCCATCTCTGATGGTTTTTAAGGTTTCTATATTTTCATTTGTGCCTAAAAATGTAAAGATGGCAACTGGCTCGACAAGAGTTGCTGGTAGAGATGTACTGTAGATCTGCGTGTCAGAGATGTATGGCAACCAGGCTACATCTTTTCCAGAAAGTTCCAGTGAAGATGAGTATTTTTGAATAGCATGCCGAGCAGGCCCGCAGAATATTTCGCGCAATATTTCATATTGAGTTGCCAAATATACATCTAGTTTTGTTTTTGGCCATGGTGTAAGAACCATACTTGCTATTTCACCACTGCCAAACACATGAGCTAATCCTATATTTTCTTCTTCTTCTTCTGGCAGCTGCCACTTAATATTCGGTTTATCCACACTCGAATCTGAAAGACCAAAAACTTCTTGAATGAGCGATTCGCCATTTGGCAGATGTGGTAGCACTTTTTTTGGGGACCACAACTCCAATATCCAGCTGGTGTTGTATGTTTCTGGGTATTCATCGGTGGGAGCACTATTATTATAGTCTTTATGGCCCAAGTTGTCTACAGTGAGCCAGGTGTCGACTTTCTGAAGTGCCGCTATCTCACTAAACAGTTGTCTCATCTGCTGTATTTCATTTTCGGTAAAGAGTTGCTTGAATTGATCAAATCGTATACGGATTGATGGTAGTGGGATTTGGTCGGCATAGTCAGGGAACTTTACAACGAAGGTGTGAAATAGCTGTAAGATCGAAATAAAGTCTTTTGGCGACATCATGTAAGTTTTGATGTAAGATTGGATCGCTACAAGGAAGTCAGGAAAGTGAGCTCCTAGGATGTCACACACGGTAACCTTTCGCTGCACAGTGCGTACAAGCTTTGGGAATACTTTGGGCACAAGTGTTGTGCTTTGCTCTTCTTTGATTGAATAAACCATGGCCCGGATCATCACATCAAGTGTGCGATGGCTCATTGATTTCACCTTTTCTAACAGAGATCCAACACCCTTTTGAAAGCGTTCTAAAGATTGGGCACCGAAAAGTTGGTTTTTAACAGAATATACAAAAATAAATGAATTCACATCTTCTTCTGTTTGTTCAACTGGAAAAGGACGAGATTTATTAGAATGCGGAAAAGACGAATTGAAGGCAGGGTGACGATTAATCATGCTATTTCCAGTTGGATGTGATTGATATTTGCCGGTTGATGATGATTGGTGTTGAAAGTGTTGGGAAGAGGATGTATCAGAGAAGTACCAATCTTCTGGAACACTACTACTTGTTGTCGATTCTGTTGGTGTTGCTATATCCGCTGTTGCTGCTGCTGACGTTTCTGTTACTACCGTCATAACAGTGGTGGTATCAGTGGTAGTTTTAGTATTGCTAGTAGATGAATCTTCAGCCTCTTCATCTTTTTTAACAGCTAGTCTTTTGGAGGCTACTTGCGCATATGATATATCTGGTTTATTATTGGTATCTTTTTTGTGGTGTTCTTCTGTTTCCTCTTCTGACGTCTTTTTTGTCAATGAATCTAGTTTTTTTTTAGTTGGTAGATCTTTAGATTTCGTCAAGGTGCTGAACTCTTGCTCGGTCATCCAGCCATTATTATTTTTGGCTTTTGTTGGTTCTTTGGGTTGGAATTCAAGATTGACTCCAGTCGTCCAGAACTGCATGGCCGATGATCGCATGTCTTCAAAGCGACTAACTGGGGCGATGTACTTTTTTTCTGTTGTAGTACTGGAACTGTCATTGTACAAGGCTTGCGAGTATTCGCTAGAATCAAAACCAGTGGTGAAATCTGGACTTGATGTTGTGGTTGATTGTGAAGAGTTGTGGGTGTAGCCTTTTTTATAGCTTTCTTCATGTCTTTGGCTAATACTAATAGATAGATGAAAAGAAGAAGAATATATATATTACATGCATAATAAAATGTATAATATATTATGAAATAGATTATATAAGTAAAACTTTTCGATACACACACACAAATATATATATATATATATATATATATATTATCGTAACTGTAGGGAAATGAAGAAGAGTAGCTCTTTCTCATTTTGTCTTTCTCTCTGTGTCTTTCTCTCTTTATATATACATATATATACATATACATATATACATATACATCTAGACTTGCCCCTGTGATGAGTTTCTTTGTGTATTCCGATTCGAAGACTGAGAAGTGTCTCCTGAATGCTTAAAAGTTGTTTGGTTTTTAATGTCATAATCCATTGAACTTTGATTTATTGCTTGTGGATTTCGCTTCATGTGTGCTGTTTCATAGAGGTTCAAACATTCTTTGTGTGTCCCTTTTGCGATGGTTGTATACATGACGTATACAAATACGTTTTACTTGTATATATATTTATATATTATTTAAATTCAAATGTCAAATAAATAAATAAATAAATAAAAATAACCTTTCTGCTGTCACTTTATTTTTATTATATAAGTATAAATATAAATACAAATATAATTTTTTTTTCCTTTCATCATTTGTACTACTTGTACTATGTGATTGGTTGATTCTAGCATAAAAATATTACAAACGTGTAATTAAACTCTAAAAATACAAAGGACTAAATAGAATTTGTCATTTCCTATAATATAATCAATAATAAAAAAGAGGCTATAGACCATGTGGCTGCCTACAATATAAGTAGGCTAAGCAATGTATTATCTTGGTATCGGAATAAAGTGAATTGAAAAGGTTCTTTCATATATATATATACGGAGATTTCGTTGGTACCTTTTTACTAAAAAGCTAAGAAACATATACACACACAGAGAGATATGCTCAAACTGATAAAAGCTGTCAATTAATATCATATTTCTACAATTGGTTGGCCAACATGTTTTGGTTTGGCTTTTGTATAATCAAAACAATTAATTGTAAATTTTGTCTATGAAGTACTAGACCAAGGGTACTAAGGGTTTACTATTCAATAGCCTAACACTCTTCTTTAAAGATAACAGTAACACCAATTGAAAGCATATAAAGTTGTTATAGCAAATTATGGGTTCGGGTATCCCGCTCACATCCTATCTATTAATAAATTTATATTTCACACACAACCTACACGGTTATTCCTTAATGCCTTTTCGTTGTCTTTTGTGTGTTTCAAATATGTTGGGTAGATTATGATAGTAAGGTTAGATTTTCCCTCAAAGTAGCTTTACTACTGCATTGTACATGCATACAGCTGTTTGCTCATATATTTTTGGCAGTGAAACAAAGTTTCTTTTCTTTTATTTTTATTTATTATTTTGGTAGCGTCTTATGCCTTTTTGTCATTATGTGGGACAGGCATTCGAATGCGGTACTCTAAATATGTTTGGTACCAGTCGATCATCACCACTCGCGCTCATTTTCATTTTTATTTTTATTTTTTATTTTTATTATCTACTATCAAAAAGGACTGTTTCTACTCTTTCCAAACCCTCCCCTCCTACCATCATCATAAATCACCCCTCTATAAAAATAAATAAATATAATATAATATTATTATTAAAAATAATAATATTAATAATAAAGCACACTTTTCTATCGACAACATGGGACAACAGACTAGCAAGGAACATGCTCCTTTGACTTTCGCGTACGTTAACCAGCCAGAAAGTGAAGAACCCCGGGGCGAATCTCCACACATGGAGGACAATTCCTTTTCTGATTTCATTTTGGCTAATCCCCACCTTTATAAACTCGAAGTTTCTTGCAAGAACGGCTGCAATGAACACAACACCGAGTCGATCTTCCCAACCGAACAAAATCATAATCAGCAAAAACGAAAAGGCTCCACAGATAGCATAGTGGTTGCTACTTCGGTTGACGAACCATGTCAAGTTTGCCAAAAGAATAAGCGACTGTCCTTGGTCCGAAAGAATCTAGTCGAAGATCTGGCTTATATTGACCAGAAATATTACCCTGACGTTGTTCACTATGACACACATGAAGATATTACGGAAAACGAAGCGGTACACATGGACGATGATGACCAACAAGTCGAAGAGTGGTCTAAACTTACAATTGGAGACATAACTCCAAAAGGACGCAGGCCAAGACGGCTAACAGGATCTAGGATGTCAGTAAACCTGTCTGGAAAATCGCTTGTGAAACTTAGTCCTAGTATTGGCTTTCTTGACAATCTCACAAAGTTAAACCTGTAAGTTTTGCTTTAGGTTAATTTAATTGTAATAATTACATTTATTTAACTTAACAAGTTAAAGCAAAAACCAATCAACCAATCAACCAATCAATCAACCAAACAAACAAAGAAAACCAATCAACCATGTAACCAAATCTTGTGTTTAGGTCACATAATCATATGACGAGTCTACCACTAGAAATCGGCTACTTAAAGAACCTACGAGTCTTGAATGCTGCACACAACCAGCTTCAAGCACTTCCTGACACAATTGCTTATCTTTCAAGACTAAAGGCTATTAATGTTGGATACAACGAACTTGCCTTAATTCCATCGTTTATCGGCCGTCTCTCAAAGATAGTCGCAATCATCGTCAACAACAATCTACTCACTGAAATTCCCAAAGAACTCGGCAACCTAAATGACCTCATCTCTCTTAATGTATCCCATAACCCTCTGAAAAGTATTCCTGCCGAAATCGCGGCCCTTAAATCACTTCGTAAATTACATGCAGAAGGATGTTCATTTGTGACAGAATTTGTTCACAATCTAGCATCCAACCCTCCTTCCCTCTTAGAGACCTGCGCCCGGATTGCTGTGCGAAACGGCCTCCCTGTTCCTGTCAGTCTACCCCAACACCTCAAGGAATACATTGGAAAATCCAAGGAGTGTTCATACTGTCATGGACCCTATTTCGACTGTTATTTTACCCGAGGTAGATTTGTCAACCGAAACGGTCGACAACAGGTAGCACTAGAGTACAAATTGTGTTGCTCTCATTGGAATAATGAAGATGACCGGATAATAAATATGTTTGCAGAACCATCTGTCAATACTATCATGTCTCCCAAATTCTCTAATGAAAAATGTACGATTGACATGGAAGGCTTCAATCGTTCATCTTCAACACCTTTACATCTCGCCAGTCGAAGCCGTGCCTTTAGCGAGGGAGCTCGGTCAAAATCTCCATCCAACTCCTACTCTTTCCCATACTCTTCTCCATCTTCCCCGCATTCTGTACCTTCTCTATTCGCACAAAAAAGCATATCCTCATCCACCACAGTCTATCGCTCAGGCTCGCAATCAGAGTTTGCCCAAAGTCTACCGAACATTGTTCCCATTCAATCTCTAAAACACCAACCAAGTCTACCCGCCCTCCCTGCACTTTCACGAAATTCATCTAATCCTGGATCACCCCAAAGACCATCTCCATTTTCTCGTCCTGGGCAACGTCCACGTTCCTTGTCTAGCAACTCCATAACGCGGCGGTTCACAAATTACCTGACGCCAAATTCACAAACAGGCTCTCCTAATCCGCAGAATTCAACATCACTACGCCAACAAACAAACAGAGACGATCTGGATCTGGATTTGAATGGTTTAGATGGATTGAATATCAGGAGTGGTAGACAGTTTGTGGAAAACTATAGTGATGATTTAAATGACGACGACGACAACCATGAGAATAACGACGACGATGAGGATGATAATGATAATGATACTGGTAATGGTAATGGCGTGAGGATAAGAAGAGGAGGGAGAGGTAGAAGTAGATATGACGAGGAATTGAACTTCACTCAATCAAACACTGAGGCAGCAAGATCCAACCAACACCAACATTCAAAAGTACCCTCAAAGCAGACATTTCGGGCTGGTCTAGCACAAATTGGAGCCCGATTAGTGCGGGGTCGTAGTGAGACGATGTAACTATAGATAATCTATTGTCTTGAAAACTGCGTTTTAGCTTTTGGTTTTGTTTTTTTTAAAGTTGTATATTTACAAAGACAAGACAATAATGTTTATAAATATAAATATAACTATTGTATCGATTATGATCTTGATACGCTCTAAGGCGTTAAGAGCAAAGGTTGTTGAATTATGATAGCAAAAGGCAGTTGAAAACTTTAGTGAATATGATGTATAAATGACAGGCAATATTTTAGTGGAAAGAAGTCTTTCGTTTTTTTTTGGGTTATAACATTTGTTATGTCCAAGGACAAGACCCATTACAAACCCCGTCTCTACTAGTATCTTGAGGTACTCTCTGTTTGCATATGCTCCTGCCAGGATCATCCCTCTGCGTCCTTCTACTTCTTCTAAGCTGCGTAGCATGCGTAACTGCATGCATAAACTACCTTCTCTATTTTCTTATTATCTCTCCACTCAATCAGTATAAATACTCGTCAAATTGTTATCAATAAAGCTCCATCTTTCTCAAGCTCAAAAACCTCTTCTAAATCGACTAGTTTTCTACAACTAGTCTCACTTCTAAACTCAGTCCCTCAAAGTTATTACATGGTGGAGAAGCTTGTCTTTCTCTAACTGCCTCTGCCTCTACTGCCTCATCTTCGTCGCCTCTTCGGCTTTCCACCCCCATGACTAAACATAGCCAACACAACCCCCACTCCCGGGCCCACTCCATCACGTCAGAGCTTCCTCTGCCTCTGCCCTCTGTGGATGTCTTGGCACCAGACATGTTGACTGCCCTCTACCTGACCTCTGCTGCCAAGGCACTGCCCGTTCCCACATTCCGCCCAGGAATGTATATCAACTCTTGGCTCTCCACGTATGAGACGGAAGCCACCCTCGTTGGGGTTGCTCCCAGCCTTTTGGGCAAATTCTTGCCTCACTACCTTCCTCCAGATATTGGAGAATGGATCCGCGTCTCTGGGACATGCCATGACTGGGCCGCGCTCACCGAACTTTTGACCAGCACATATGGGCTGGACCCAGAAATCGAGAAGGCCCAGCAACGCTGTGCTCTCCAGGCCACCAAGCAAGGAACGCTGCCCATTCGCATGTTCTGTGTGAAGTTCGCCACGTTGGCCAATGACATCTCTGCCACCTGTCGCCTGTCCAACCGAACGATCCTAGCAATCTTCATGGAGAACATCAAGCCCCAACTTCGTCAGCTGGTGGAACCAACCCTCACCAAATACAACAATTGGGAATCGGCCTACACTACTGCAGTGGAGCATGAGGATCGGCGTGGCAAGTATGCACCACCACCAGCCTTTGCCTCTCTCTCTCGATTTGGGCCTCAACCAATGGACTGCTCAGCAGCCATTTCCTCCTCTCGTCCTTGTCGAAATAGGCCTCCAGACGGCGTTCCTCGCCTTTGGGGACCGGATGGAAAACCCATTTGTGGTTATTGTAAGGGTGCACATCGCAACAAGGACTGCCAAGGCAATCCACAGTCTGCTGCTGTCTCCTCGCCTCACAACCACAGCGACCCTTTGTTCCCTCCACTCTTGGCTGCAGTCACGATCCCTCTGACCGGTAAGCCCCATGGCCCCATCTCCTCTTCATCCTCTGGACCTTCGGTGCCTTGTGTTGTACAAGACCGTGCCCTCTCTGCGTTAGTAGACACAGGGTCCGCCATCACTGCCATCCGCACTTCTGCCTTTGTCAGTCTGGATGCGACTGTTGACAGCAACCAAGCCATCACCTTCACTACAGCTGCAGGCGCACTGGCACGTTCTCATGGCACTACCACTCTGGCTGTTGGCCTCTTGGGCCGACCATTCACCCTCACCTTCCAGGTGGTTGAACACCTTGCCCACGATATCATCCTTGGATATCCAGACCTGAAACGGTTGTCAGCCGTTATCAACACCTCTGCAGACAGCATTCGGTTTGATATGTGTGCCACCATCTCCCAACCTTCTGCGCTTGTTCCCTTGCCAGTACGAGCGACTGGACATGTCCAACTCCCCACTATTTCCCACTGTTACCACACAGTCCTAGGCCCTGCCAACTGTCTGGCGTATGTGGAGACCGGCCCAGAGCTCCTCTCGTCTCGCCAGTGTGCCATGGCTGCAGGCATGGTGCAATTCGACCATTGGGGACTGGCAACAGTCAAGGTGACCAACCTAGGGATGACCATGGTCCAACTCCAAGCAGGGTGCCAATTGGCCACATCAGAGGATTTGGGAAGTATTCACACAATTGATTTAAAGAACAGTACTAATGCTTTGCCAATACCTATCACTAGCCCTGTCCAGGCATTGTTTACCAAAGACGACTTGCCTATGAACGCCACGTTGGAGGATGGCCAGAAGGACCAGATCGTAGGGTTATTGAACCAATTTCGCAGAGTGTTTGCCACCAAGGCACAGACCATCACCTCACATGTACAACTCAACATTGACACTGGCAACCAGGCCCCACTATCTGGCCCTCCACACTGCGCTTCAGCCACAGAGAACGAAAAGATCAATGATATGATTGACGAGATGCTCCAGGACGGCATCGTGGTGCCCTCTCACTCCCCTTGGAGCTCCCCAGTAGTTATTGTCACCAAGAAGGACGGGTCACTGCGGTTTTGCATTGACTATTGATGGCTGAACGGGGTAACCACTAGGGATGTGTACCCACTACCACGCATCGATGATACCCTACACTCCCTCAGCAATTCTGCCATCTTCTCGACCTTGGATCTGACCGCCTCCTACTGGCAGATCGAGTTGGACGAATCGTCATGCCCACGTTTGGCGTTTGTCTGTCAAAAGGGCCTCTTCGAGTTTGTCTGGATGCCTTTTGGATTGTCCAACGCCCCTGCAACAATGCAGCGTTTGATGGATGCAGTACTCGCCAGCCTCAAGTGGCAGCTCTGTCTTGTCTACCTGGATGACATTATCATCTTCTCGCCTTCCTTCACCCAACACCTCTTAGACTTGGCCTTGGTCTTCTCCCGCCTCCAAACTGCCTCCCTCACTGTCAATCTGAAGAAGTGCAGTTTTGCCTGTCCGGAAGTCAAGTATCTTGGGTACCTAATTACTGCGTCTGGTCTCCGAACCAACCCTGACAAGATCAAGGTGGTCGCCTCTTTCCCCACACCCAAGGATGTTGACACCTTGCAGTCCTTCCTTGGTTTGTGTGGCTATTACCGCTGTTTCATCCCTCAGTTCTCACTCTTGACTGCACTGCTCAACCGACTTCTGGCCAAGGACTCTGTCTGGACTTGGTCTACTGACCATGACTCTGCTGCCTCCAAGCTTTGCCAGGTCCTGTTATCAGCCCCAGTCCTCTGGTTTCCTGACTTCTCTCACCAGTTCGAGCTCCACACCAACGGTGCGTGCATGGCTGGGATAGAAGTCATCCTGTCTCAATGGGAGTCTGACTCTTCTTGCCCCCATGCCATCTCATACGCCTCTTGTTCTCTGACCCCTGCCGAGCAGAACTATGGGGTCACAGAGATCGAAGCATTGGCCATCATCTGGGGTATCAAGAAGTTTGCACACTACTTGATGGGAACGCACTTCACGGTGGTAACCGATCACCAGGCCTTGCAATTCCTGCTCAAGACCATGGACCTCCGTGGGCATCTGGCCCCGTTGGGCGTTACTCCTGCAAGGACACAACTTCATGATTGTCTACTGCCCTGGCAAGGACAATTTGGGCCCAGATGCTCTCTCCTGGTTCCCCATAGTGAACGCCATTGGCGTTGAAGAACTTGTGACTGGACAGGCCGACAATCCTTTTTGTCAATCCATAAAAGACTTGCCTACCCTGCCACACAACTTCACTGTCTCTTGCTTACTCCTCTTGCACAAAACACAACCAGTCCTACCAGCCGCCATGCGAGAAGTCTTCTTCCAGTTACTACATTGCGCACCAACTGCCAGCCACCTCGGCTTGAACAGAACTGTCCAATGGTTCTAACGCCTGGTATGGTTTGAGGATCTCAAACCATGGGTCTCACAGAAGGTCATGGAGTGCCCAGGTTGCCAACACTCAAAGTCACCACGCTTGACACTGGGGCACACAGAATCAGTCTCGCAAGAACCAGCCATGACACCATTTGACACCATAGCAATTGATGCGTTCAGGCCACTTCCACTTAGCCTCCAAGAACACCGCTACATCATGGTGGTACAGTGTCTATTCTCGCGGTACGTCATCTTGGTGCCCTTGACAAGTCTCAACGAATCAACTGTCATCGCTGCCCTCTGCTTCAAGGTGTTTGCAGAACATGGTCTACCAAGAGTAATCCTCTCTGACAATGGACAGCCCTTCTCCTCTGACCTGCTGCAAACTCTGACTTGCTATCTGGCAATCTCCTGGAAGTTTGCACCTGCATACCATCCCCAGTCCAATGGAGGCATAGAACGTTTTATGTCCACCCTGAAAAACATGATTGTTTGTTACACCGACCAAAGCTCAGTGCACTCCACCTGGGATCACCACCTTGGACTATTCCAGTTGGCTTATAACTTCTTGGTTCACTCTGCCACCCACTTCTCGCCTTTCTTCCTTGTACATGGCTGCAAGCCCAGAATTCCGGCCACCATCTCTCAGCAGCCTCAAGACACCAGCCCAACTGACTATGCCTCTGGGGTCAAGCCTGCCCTGTCTTCTGCTCTGGACTTGGTGCGGTTGGCTAACCTCCAGACTCATGCTGCCAACTCTCTCACGCTTAACAAACTGCGTAAGCCGCCTTCCTTCCAAGTGGACCAAGTTGTCTTGTTGTTCACCAAGCCTCTGTCCAAACCACAGAAAGCTGGGAAGCTCATTCGCATCTGGAATGGCCCGTACCACGTCATTCTGGTCTTCAACAACCGTTACTCTCTGCTCCCCCTTCACACAGCCACACAACGAGTCCTCACCAATGTCTATGCCCACAGGCTCAAGATCTTCTACCTGTTGTAAATGAGTATTGACTACTGCTGTAATTGAGAATAAGTCTGAAGGAAATAATATAAGGCCTCAGCTATTCCAGTCAAAGGTGTCTACCAATTACTTTATTATTTAACATACAGGTTTAGCATGCATGATAGTGATTATATTTCATATGATGATATCACCATAATATGGGATACATCAGTGGATTATTATAAGCATAATTATAACTCATAAACACATTTACTTTCCATGTTAATACTTCATTGGGACTACACACATTTATATAATTAATCATATATTAATTATCCCAAGATCACGTTGCTCTGATTAAGGCTCAGATAGGATCGATTACCTGACCCCAGTCATATAATTTTCCCGATCCAAAATAATATAAATAGCAGTAGTAGTTCAGTGTAGGAACCTCATCAAACTTTGATACCAAATCTTTCTCAATAAACAAACCCTACACAAGTTCTCATGAATCTTCGTTCCTCATCTCAAATCTTTAATTCTTCTTCTTAAAAACTTTTTCAACTTTAACCACCACAACATCCTGTATGCATTATTCAACGGCAATGAAGATCTTGCTTCGGAAAGAACCATCAAGAAGATCATATATGCAATAGAGATGCTCTTGGAGGTCCGCGAAACCACTGGAAAAAACGACTGGATTTCCTCAAGCCAGACACAGTGATTAACTTTCACTTGCAAGCAAAGAACGAGGTCCCTGTCTTTAAGACCTCTCCAGTCAAGGGTACAAACCAAAAATCCGAAGCCCATGAATTTTTGATCAACAAGCCATCCGAATATATTAAGCATATGTTGGCAATCCCTGGCAAGACATCCCAACTCTCTGCCCTTCCAGACTTTATGAAGAACCAGTGGTTGAACCTCAACCAAGGCAACAAATGGAAAGAAGACCTATTGCTCCAGCATCCTATGCTCACTTTTGAAGGATCGGACTATTGGGTAGGCAACGTTGTTGAAGTTCAAGGCTATTCAAACCGGTTTCTATTGGAAAAGTTTTTTATGGAAAATGGATCCAGATATGCCAATGCTTTCCAGGTATACAGTGGCCATGGTCCTTTGCTGAATCATCCTGATGATGCATACTTCTGGTCGTGTGGAAACTCCACAAACTTTGCTGTCTCTGTTCCCAAGTATAAGATCAAAGTAAACAAGTTCCTTTCTGTTATTCAAAAAGACAGTAGCAGTTTCTTTGGTTCTGGTTTCTCTGTCTCTTTCTGTCATATCAAGATTGTTGATTGTACTCTTGTTGGTGTCCAATTTCGCCTGTGGTCCAATACTAGCAATATTGAAGATTTCAAGAGAATAATACCTGGAACCTCCGATCTTATGAAAGTGGTCATCTGCCTACTGAACATGTATTCTGATAATACATCTGGAAACGATTCAAAGCAGTACAACGTCTACAACAGTTACTTGTTGTACTTTGCCGCGATGCCCCTTGAAGAGAGAAACAAATGGGAGAATACCCTGTTTGTTTGCACATCGAATCATGTTCTAAATGCTGTTGAAATGCTGCCCCCTGTTGTCAGCAATCTTGTTGTCTTGGAGAAAGGTGTCAAGTGTTATGTATGAGGTAAAAATAAGATATAAAATAAAACAAGTGCAGACGAGAGTATGGTGAGACTTTGTTTTATTAGAAGAAGTGAAAGAATCAGAAAGAAGATGATGTTCTATTGCTATTTGTATTGTGTGTTTATATAAACATTGCATTTAGCTTAGAGATGATATGATGATATCATGTAATGTCTGTTTCTCTACCATTATCTTCTATGATTTAGTTCTTATGTTTTTAGTGTTATTGACTAGAGTCTTAGTATTTGTCTTAGTATGTTCTTTACATAATTTCCTTGTATAAGGGAAGGTATATCTTTTAGTATTGTTATTAGTTGTCGGCAACTCAATGTATATATTTATTGAGTGTCTGTACTTTTAATTTAAATCTACGATTATGTTAGATACAACGAGATGTATTCTGAAGACCTTGGCGAATATGTCTTGGTAGTTGCTCCCCTGTTGCTCTTTATGGGTGACAACCCTCACCAGTCTCAGTTTGCGATGCATAAAGAAACATCATCAAAGTGTCTTTTCAGAAGATGTATTTTCCCTTCTCCTTGTCTGGGGCGGAAGCATATAACTGGTGTCCTCCGCTTTTCTTCTGTCGATCACTCCAGCTGGCCCCATAGATTGAAGAACTTCCTTTCCACCTTTGCCTCCTCTGACAGCCAGTTGGATGTATACAAATGTGGTCATAGCTTTGGCTATATAAAGAATGGAAGCGAGGAGTTTCTCAGACTCAAAGCCTTTGACCAGACTAAGGACATGCCCATTAAGATTTTTTACATGATCCCACTTGGATTGATCAAGTACCTAGTCATTTTCTTGTGGAAGCAGCCAGTATTGACAGCAGTTCAGAAGGATAGCCTTCAGTGTGAAAGGGTATCTTACCAATCCTGTGAGAGCTATGATGAAACTTTTCGCAATCAGCTTTGCCACTCTGGGTCTTTTGTTGGACGCGATTTCAAGCAATTGATTCAAATCCTATCAGGTGTTATGAGCAAGCTTTTTGGTAGAGAGAGTAACCTGAACTTGATTATATCAGCCTTTCATGCAGTTGCCAGATTGTTGTCTTTGGTGTATATGCGTAGAATTCATGTGGGCTTTGACTACTACCTTATGCAGATCCAGAGTGCTGTTGACAAAGTAACCAAAGTGTTCCATGCACTAGATCTTTTTATCTTGACCACTAAAGATAAACTCAAGCAACAAGACTTCAGTTTCAAGCCCAAGCTTCACCTTTTGCATCACACTGTAAGAAAAAAATTGTCAGGTTTTCTTAAAAAACCTGGCAAACCTGACAACTTTTTTAATCTCCTATAAGCTTTACCATGTTTAGGTTGTTTGCAGCTTAATTAGGCATATGAATACTGATATTGAAATAAAAGTTTATTACAGAAGACTCTTAAAGCTATATTAAGAAGTCAAGAACTCATAATCTTTATTATTGGCCTGGTAAAACCATTGATAATTGAATATCACGCTGCCCTTTTTTTTAGAAAATAAATCATCTTTATAAGGCATGCTGTGATGTATAACCATTCATAAATGAAATCAATGCAATCAATGCAATCCAAGTAGTAAAAACCGACTTTGCAGAATTTATTATGCTTTTATACTGATATTCAGTTATTATACTGAGGCTTAGATTTTTCTCTTCAAAAGTAAACAACAAGTGCTTTTTAACTACACTAACATTTTTTCCTTTTCTTTAAACAAGATCATAAAAGCAATGGTACATTTAGTAATTCTTATACTAAATAATATTGTTATAGAATAATGCTGCTATATATATATGAATATTAGGGTAAATATATCAATGTTAATAGATTTTAATGGTAAATTACTAATCAAACTTCATTTTGATCATAATTACGCTCGAATCTTCTAAACTATTAAAGATATAAATGCCTAAAATGAAAGTATGAGTAAAGTGTAGAAACCATCAAATATAAAGGTTTGTATTATTTTATGCTCATTCAATACTAATTGTATGCTATTTGAAATAAATTCTTTCAGAATGCAAATACTAATTTTTTTCTTTCTTTCTTCTTTTTATTTATGTATAGGTTAAACGCCTTTCAGTTATTGTTATAGTTTTTCAGCTTGCTTTATACAAAGTGTCTTTTAATTAGTTAGAAATACTGCTATAAGCTGTAGAAGTAGTTGTATGCATATTGTACCTTGTTAGCCCCGATATTTTCAATGTGAAAAATAAATAAAAATAAATTTTTTTTAATAAATTTGAGTGTTTGTAACCTCCTAATAAGGATACTGATCCCTAGATATACATTAAAACCATTATAGCAATAAAAAGCTATCTGCCAATGTTATTGGTTAAAATAAGACCTGAACCTCATTATTCTATATATCTGATTTGCTTAAATAGATGAAACTGATTGCTATATACTGAAGCTCTATTGGCTCAGAAGAATGTTGCCAGGTGGCACTTTTTAACGATTTTTGCCAGGTCGGTAGTTTAATATCTGCCATTTCTTACAGTGTCATCTTACTGAAGATATGCTTCGTTTTGGCTCTGTCTTGCAATATGAAACAGAGAACAGTGAACAGTTCAACAAGTTCATCTGTGAGCACTTGTTCAAGACAAACCGCCAGGCAACTTCTCAAGATGTTGCCAAGAAATTTGCAAAGCAATTCATGTGTCGACATCTTTGCAATGGTTGATCCTATATTGTAGAGAATCAAGTTGGTAATGGAACACGACTAGTAAGATATGTTCCTGGTAAATTTATCAAACGTGCCCCCATTGATTTCCCAGCTTTCAATTTTCACTTCTTTGGCTCCCGTGCTAACAGTGACAACTCTGGCTCATTGATTCCAAATTTGCGCGATATATTGGCAAGTGTTTTCCAGGCAAATTGTTGATGGTTTCTTGGCCAGATCTCAATTGAAGCTCTCAGAGATGAAAGAAACAGATTAGTAAGAAAGATGTTCATGATGCAAGAGTATCAAATGATATCTAGCGTCAATGTCAATAACGTCTACTCTCATAATGTAGTAACAGATCCCTATGGCAACATTGAAGTTATGTATTACAGAACTTGCTATGAGTTTGATGAGAACAAAGTTGCAGTGATCCAGGCCATTGATATCCACTTAATCTGTGTACCTGATGGTAGCCGCAGACTTCTTAACGTTTCAAAGTTTGGCATGTTCTGTTGGATATTGGTAAACATTTCCAATATTGACTGAAAAATGACGTCAAAAAAATGCATTTTTCTCAACAGAAAAAAATCTTGTCCAATAAAAGCTTTTCTTTCAGAGCTATCCATTTTTCTCCCCAAATTTTAAAGTTTTTCTCTGTCTGAATTTCAATTAAGTAGCTCAAAAAATATGTTTAATCCTTTTTTGGCACATATCTCATTATTTTGCTCCCCCAAATCTGAAGCTTTTCATGTTTAATCTCAATTCATACTCTAAGCCAATAGGAAATTTGGTTTCAACAAGAAATTTTCATATTTAGAAGAAACCTCAGTGAGTGTGAATTTGAAAAAATAGCTTAAATTTTCTTATAAAGCAATTTATTTGGTTTTTTCAAAAATGCACTAAGGTTACTATTATTGGCTTAGAAGCCAAAATTTTGGAATTTTTTTTCATACCCAATTTTTTTCATCAGAATAAAGAAGAAAATTAAGTTCAGTACTACTAGAGAGCTTTTAAAGTAAGAAAAAAAACTGTGAAAGCATCTTCAGCAGTGAGAACTTTTAATTTATCTAAAGTTAAACACTGCTACTTTAGCTAAAGAAAAGGTCAATTTTCCCAGCAGTTCGATTTATCTTTTTCTTTAAATAAATTTTGAAAGCATTTTCATCAATAAATTTTATCTTCCTATTAAATTTAATAGGAAGATAAAGAAAAGGGACTGTCTTTTATATTTAAAGTGAATTTAAATAAACTGCTGGGAGGACACACTTTAGCTAAATCTTTAAATTTAATGTAAAAGTGGAGATAAAGTGAACTGCTAAAGATGCTCTTAGGGAAGTCAGAAAGTATTCAAGTGAGACAAATGATTTATTAAGGAAAGTTGGGGGTTGGTTTGAGTAACCAAAAAATGACCTCAAAAATTTTGCAAAAAAATTGATGTTGAGAAGAAGAAAACAGAAGTTTCAAATAATAATAATAATAATAGTAATAATAAAGAAGTAGTATCATTTTATTCATCAAAAAGAATATTATTGAAAATGAACTAGTATAGTACATTTTTCTTATAATCAGAAAGAATTATTGGGCTCCGATATTTTTTTCAAAAGGCAAAAAATTTGTCGGAAATGTCAATACAAAAAAACCGTTGCTTATGGACATGGAGAAAGTGTTTCTGAAAAGAACTGTGTGAGTAGCTTATTTGTAGTGACATTTCCAACAAAGTTTTTGACTTTGAAAAGTGCGGTGTTCCAATTTAATAGCAGGGGAAGAGAAATATTGAGACTTGAATCTACATCTCTGATGGCATCTCAAGGCAGATGTAGAGAATTATATATCCTAAATTAATAAATACATATAATATGTGGAGTATAAACCACATTTTTGGATGTGACAGCTGTCTATCAAGTCTGCCCTGAAAACACTTCTTTTACTTTTACTAAAACAAATTCTTAAAAATGGGTTATAAAAATGCTCACTCTATCTTTACTTCTAAAATAGCTCGAAGAGAGGGCAGAAAATTCTGTACCAAGTCTCCAATTATTACTATTGATCCCAAAAAGAAAGCTGGAGAAAAGGAACCTGTTGAAGATCAACCTGTAGAAGAGTATGACTGGGAGCTCTTGGATTGAGATACAGATACAATGATTGCTGCATGTTATATTTGTATGTGGAAAGGTGGAACAATAAGTACTTTGAGACTCTTTTTTATTGTGTTTATTAAAAGTTCAAGTCAAATCGAATTGTCTTAATAAAAGTTATTTTATTTATGATATTTATATTTATTGAGATATATCCAGTCACCCTGGATATGAGTCATTGTAACAGCTTTGCGATTGTTGTGGGGAGAAAATAAAGCAAAATATAATATAGACGAAAGAATTCGTGAGAACTTGTGTAGGTTGTTTATTTCAAAAGAAAAGTAAAGAAATATAAAATTCGATTGTCTTTCTACACGGAACTATCTACTGATATTTATATGTTTTTCTAATTTGTAATTCAGTGTGTGCTTAAGTAATCTTTATCACGATGAGTCATATTCCAGGAGTATTGTTCTTCTGGAAAGATCCGGAAAGACCAATTGATATGATACTTCTCCAGTCAGATCAGTCCAAGAGTTTTGGTAAAGAAGAGCATTTATGCTATTGGTAATATTTTAGTATTCCGACCCAGATACTCGGGTAATGTTTCATAATATTAGATAGTTGTAGTTGTAGTCTCTCAATTAAGTATTTGTATAATAAAAGAAATATGTAGATGAAATATAATGATGCCATATATATAATGTATATGTATTTGTATATCCCATGTCATGGTGATAATAATAAATAATCAATTATGTGTATGATGATCTGTGTATTAGATAATATCATAAAGGGAGATCCGTTTGACTGGAATAGCTGAGGATATTATTTTATCCTTCAGTCTTACTCTCAGATTCAGCAGTAATCAATACTCATTCACAACATTATCCTCCACCAGATTCAACAATACCTTTTGTTGATTCGGCAATAAAACATTTCATTTACTATTTCATTGTCTGGCCAATTGCTTATTTTATTATAGTCAATCATGCACATAATTTTTGTACTTTATGGAGATCTACACTGTAAACTCAGCTTTGTGGATTACGTGTTCATTTTTTGTTGTTTTAATTTTTTGTTGCTCTTCTTTTGTGTAATCTTTCTTCTCTACTCAAAGTGGTAGGAAGCGTTCTTTTCTTGTGCTCATCGTTATTGTTACTTTTACCATTTAGTCTTGAAGTGTGAACTGTTTTCTTTTTTGAGGATGCACTTTTGTTAATCAAGTCTTCAGCTCTCTCATTCTCTAAACGTTCCAACTCTCTAACTTTCTTCCAATATTTTTGTACAATTGTGGAATTGGTAAAGTCTTCAGCCTTTTGCCATGTATTAGCACGTTCGCCATAGCCAGCCCATTTGACCAAATATTCTCGTTGACCAGCAGTACCACGATGATCTCGAATGTCTTCAACTTCGTAGAGCTCATTCTCAATTGTTGATTCATCGATGGTGACCATCTTGAGTTCTGAGGGTGTGTAATTTCGGTGTAACAATTCACCTTGCTCATCCTTTAACTCATACGATCCTCCTTTATTCCTTCGAACCACTGTATATGGACCTTCATAAATAGGTGCCAATTTATTTGATCGATGTGGTAATCTGACCATAACGTGTGTTCCTTTGGGGATGTCGATTAGGATATTTTTGTGATCATATTTCTTTTTTAATTCCTCATTAATCCTTAACACACGTTCGTTAATGGCAGGGAATATAATATTTTCCATATGATCAATCTGCTTCTCTAGCTCATCAATTGTAACTGTGGCTTTTGGAAGAGAGTATTTATCTTTGTCACCATACTCATCAGGCACATTGACTCTGCGAGCATACATTAATGAAAACGGCGCACTTAGTGTTTTTTGAGGAATATGTCTATTGATACACAGCTGAACAATCGGTAGATAGTGACACCAGTCATTGCTGTTCGCTCTCATCATTTTACGTACAGTATTCTCTGCAATTTTTACACTGGCTTCGGCAATACCATTTCCTTGTGGGTGATATGCTGTCGAATATCTTCGATCAATCCCAAGCTCTTTAGATAGGCTTGACATTAAAGAGTTTCTAAATTCCAGACCATTGTCACTTTGCATTACTTTGGGAAAACCATAATCTCCAAAAATCTTTATCAATGCTTTAGCTATTGTTGTTGAGTTCTTGTTTGGCAGTGGTCTCAAGATAATGTACTTGGAGCATACATCAACCAGAACTAACATGTACGTGTGTCCATCCTCTGATACAGGGAATTCACCGCATAAGTCAATTGCAATATGATCAAATGGTCGGAATGCTACAACATTAGTCAATGGGTGATAGCCTTTCTTGCTAATATTGTGCTTCTGACATTCAGGGCAAGAACGAATAATCTCTTTAGCCTCTTCATATATATTAGTCCAGTGTAAGCCTTGTGAATGAAGATCATTCACTATAGCTTGACTTCCAAAGTGACCAAACGAATGTGCTTCTTTTAGTAAGCCATTACGATTTTCTTCAGGAGGTGACATATAGTCGGACGACTCTGAAGCATTTTCGACGAGTTGCGTTGCAAGTACATTTAGCACTCTGTCTTTACTATATTTTTTCTTTTGAACAATAACTCTGTTTTTAGCTTGTAAGTCATTTGTTCTGATTTTTCTCAATCCATCATCCTCCACCAGCTTGTCACTATCCTCTGGAGGATACAAGCGGCTTAGCAAATCAGGTAGTTTATTCAACAAACCAGGAATATGGACCACTTTAAAATCAAAGTCAAGGAGTGTCTCAATCCAGCCAATCATCATCGGATTAGCGATTTTTTGAGTGTGGAGATTAATGAGTGCTCGATGATCAGTAAAAATTGTGAACTGTCGGNCCCACAGAAATGGACGGAATTTTTCAAGCGCCAAAACGACTGCTTATAATTCTCTTTTAGTTGTGCTCCATCGTCGCTGCGATG